GGTACAGTCTATCTGATCTCTTGTAAAGCATGCGGGCACGAATATGTTGGCGAAACGGGTAGACCGCTCTGCGTCCGCATAAAAGAACACCTAGTCGGTAAATCTAAACTAAAACATAATACTCCACTAGGCGCGCATAGGATGCAAGAACACAACGGAGAAGATTTTGAGGTAGGAGTCACTATCCTTACGCAGGAATCGAAAACATCAGCGCGAAAAACTCTTGAAGCGTTTTGGATCAATGCCAAAAATTCAAAAATGAACCGCAAGGAGGAGTGTCTTGTCATCACGCGTGACCTAGCGCCATACCTCAGGCTGATCCAATGACCTGACATGGACCCAGTTATCGACCATGTATTACTCTGTGCGGCGGCTATCCACCAACTAACTTAAATACTTAAAACAAATAAACGGTAGGTGTTTGAATGAAGCTGTTTCTTATGCGAATGAAAATCGATTTATCAAGTTTTATCTGCTAGGGTTATGAAAGTGTTTGGCTGAGTAGATCACATCTCAATTTGACCTTTCCAGGCTCTGAAGAAGGCGAAACCGCCGAAACGTCAGCAATTGTGTTCTAATAAATTCTATATTAACAACCTCGTGTCTGCTTATTGATGAAAAACATTGAATTATCAATTAATGCCGAGGTTAACAGAAAGTCGGTCATGGGAACAGCAAGAACTGGTACCAACCTCGCGTCAGCTCAAGTGCAGTGCGTTAGAATTATATATATTGGTCATTAGTGCCGAGGTTTATAGAAAGTTGGCCTTTTAGTTATTATTCCTTAACATAGTTGATGGTGTATGGACAACTATAGATATTTGGAGGACTTACTCGATTTTCCAGGAAAGAAATGTTAGAGGTAGTCGTTGAAATACCATAGGAATATTTACGAATGTACGGTTCGCCGTGAGTTCTGATGAATCAGGATGAAAAAACTCTCACTTCAAACCATAATATAGAATTGATAACAAAGAACCTCACACCGTTCCCTTCCATTTCACAACTTCAGGAGCAGATCACAAAATCCTATCTAGAGTAAAGCCACGTATTATTCTTCCCTATGAAGTCCAAGCTGCAACCGAAAGCATGAAGAATTATAACTACAGGACCAGCAAACATCAACAGCAGACTTACTTCGAGCTAGACACGATAAACTCGACGCAATTCTTACAACTGACATAACATCCTTTCTTCAGAAAGAAAGAATTCTACACAAGTGAAAAACATCGTGCCCCGATAAAGGTAGCGACCAAGTGTTCCTAGTCACCTTTTCCTATTTTCTTGCTGAGTATAGTTTGCAAACAATTCACAAAGATTATCCAATAGCGCAAATCAAAGAGTTCGTGGGAGAAAAGATCAGTTGAGTATGTACGATTTGACCCTGCTGAAGTGACTACGTCCAACTCATGCCAAAAAGGAACTTCAGGAGCATCATCTGTACTTAAACTAACCACTGTCGACAAGAAAGCGTTTTGACAGCGTCGAAATGAATACCGCCACCCTATCAGCGCCCGTCCATCAAACAACACACCTGTCCTATATAACAACTATCCGACTCGCAACAGTAACATAACAAACCGGTTTTTCTATCGTATCTTTGGGATTCGTAGAGAAAAGGGTCTGACATGACCACACTATTTTCCAAATCTGTTTATTGTCGCACTGCAGTGGATAATGAAGTTACCCAAAGGGAACGAGAAACATGTATGCACTGATGGTAAATTCCTGTCAAACCTTTGTTTTGTGAATGACATGGTCATCTTTTAGAGGAGCGCCATTAAACAGAGACTACGGCCTAATGATCGCAATGAAGCAGCGAAAACGCATAAATCGAAGGAAGGCTTAGTTCATGAACTCATGGTGTGAAGCCAAGCAAATCAAATTTGATGGTTTTCTGGTTACAGAGGCCGGGTCGTGTGTGGACCACCTTAGCCGTTCAAAAAACATGAAAAACGATTTGAAGAACAAATTGTAGAGGGGAAAAAAGAGCTGCTGGGGCCGAACCTCCGTGTCCACTTTTTCGACGCAACGGTCCTGCTATTACTCTGCTCAGTTAGAGACTTGGACCGATACGTCACCTCGAAAATTCTACGCCCTTAAAGAACTTGAACGATATCTTCCGAAATATAATCAACGAACGCAAAATTTAGACTAATTTACGTCAACACCTTCGAAAGTTATCCCATTTTTAAGATCCAGGAGAATACATTTCGGAAGTTAAGTACAGATGGGCCGTAGATCAATCGATGACAGCTGAAAGAAGAGCATTAAAATGGCTCTAGAGCTTGCAGGCGTCTTCCAAGACCATGGACAAAAGATGGATGATGTTTTTGTAGTTAGCACAAGTCAATTGTTTTGCATTTGCAAAAGCTTCGAAGATCACGGTCGGATGCTCGCACAAGCAGCAATACTTAAAATAAACCACCATCGCTGAAGGCAATTGGAACGGACGCATGGAATTTTGCAACATTTGCGAAGACGGACCGTCAAAGTATCATGTGTCCGAATATCAGTTCAGTTTATTACCTACGTAACAAGATATTTCCGACAATTCAATATTAAAATCGTAGGGAAATTTGCAAATTTGTACAAGCCAGAACCTGACATCATCATAGCGAAGTGTTAGACATAGGTCACGCTGGTAACAGCGTTTTAGTTTCACCGAGTTACACTTTCCTTAGAACATGTATGTACAAGATAATGATGGAGAATGACCATTCGTACCATGTTGCTAGGATTTTCTTCATATTTATAAATTAAAACTCACTTCCGTTATACTTAATGAGACCTGAGGTAGAAGTTCGTTCGCTCTTCGATCAGCTTCTCGAATAGCTTCATCGTATAACTGATCCGCTTTTTCCTAAAAATACTGGCAGCGTTCCTACCTCCACGTCATATTTTCCTAAATTTCATTCACAAATCCATTTAAAAACATAACATTTTCTTCCAACTTAAATGGAGATGACAAAACTTCCCGAATTACCTGATCTATACTTCGCACTTTAATCGTAAATGAAGCCCGGACAGGCTTGTGGTCACTAATAAAAATCCTTTCAACACTCTCATATCGTTGTGTCTTCAGAAGGGTATCTGGATCCCGTGTCCACCACAAAATACGGTCACACCATGCGGGCACACGAGCCTAAAATTCGTGCTGAAATAGTTCCACAAAAACAACAAAATGATATAATGCTTGTATATCTTCACGGTTTCTGCGGTATGCAAAATATTTCCAATGCCCTCGCAAATATCCTGAAGGTTTTGGTCTTTTTTTCATGATTACATACATCTAGGAGTACCATCCGGTGATCTGCAAATAGTAATAGCTGCAAATACTGGTAATTGTGAGAGTGTCGAATCACAGCTTGTAGCTTCCGTCTCAAAGGAAGTCGGCTCGCTGTGCTCACTAATCCTGGGGCTGTACACCTTGGCACGTTTTTGCAACTCGAACTCCGAAGTGAGGAATCCAGAGTGGTTGTTTTCCAATAGAGGATACGAGGTTTGTACTCAGGTGAGAAATAAAAAATATTGAGGCTTAATGTTAACTTTTTTATTTACTGCCTATTATTATTTTTCATGGCAGGGTATGTGCGAAATGCAATCATTATAATGCTGAGATATTTGCAAAACATGAACCCTAGGAAAGATCGAACCGCGATTATCTTTCCTGCAATTGCTGATAGTACTGGCCAATAGAACTAGCTGAGAGACAGGCGAAACGAAGGACCCCCATGGTGTGGTGGTGAACGCGTTACTCCCCGAAAAGGACAATAGCGCGTTCGTTCCTCACCGCAGACACCTGCGATCCATCATCTGTTACAGCCGCATCTGATTATGTGCCATAACCATTTTAAAAAGCTAACAATATACCTAGAAAAAAAATTTGCACCTTCTCACTTGAGTCCCATGTTGATGTTCCAACATCGTACTTGTACGTAGGTCGGAATGGTAGGAACTCAGGTTCTTGGAAACCGACGAATACCTGCCCAATTAATTGTTGTTCTCGGAGCTGAAAGCCGTAATCAGAACCAGATAATATTCGTTAAATAAGAAAAAAGCGCCCACGGTACCTGATCATACTTGAATAAAACTGGAAATTCTGAGGATGATGCAATTTGCCTCACCTAAAAAAACATTGAACAGAAGATATTAGGTTTGCATATACAGAAGCTATTTGACAGCTAACCCATGCTGAACATCTAACTGTTATTGCCAAAAACTTTATCATAGTTCAAAAGTGAAAACGTACTTGCTCAGTCGACCATCCAGACTCTTCCACTTTTAACCGGTAATTGAGATCACCAAACCAAAATACTGCATCATGGTCGTATATGGACAGGTCATCAACAAACTTCAGTTGAGAAATATCTCTACAACACATATTTCGGCACCGAGCCACGACAAATTTTTCACATGAAATGTGATGGCAGAAACTAAACACCTATACACAACTATTTTGTAAAATTGGAGTAATTATTCAAATGTTGTCACATCGCAACCGTACCTTATTTGTACTCACAAAACTTTCGCCGCCTTATTATAAATGCAATTCTTGTAGTATATAGCTATCTCATTTAAAACCAAGCCCTTCTTGTACTCAGAAATTGCTTCGAAACCTTTAGATTTCAAAATCAATGCATTTGAAGCGAACCTGAAATCTTGGTTCCTTCGCTCCAATTCTCCACTTCCAGCTGCAAGATGACAATTTACAAAGCACACTAGAGTGTCATTGAGTCGAAGTGAAATCGCCGTTCCTCCCTAATGAATAACGCTAGTTAGACATTATTACCGAGAAAAAAATTTATCTGATGACAATGACTAATGTTCAACCACTTATCGCATATTATTTTGTCCTCCAAGATCAAAAAGAATTATAAAACAATTACAACATCATGCGATATGATTACTGTAAGATTTACCCCTGTAGGTAAGCGGATACTAATCGGTACGTGTTATCCAATACTCGTAAGACCATGATTCGTTCACACCCCTCGCCAACGAAGCCCATCATCTTTCGTGGTCGGGAAATTAGTACCAAGTTTTGTCCTAGATTAGAACGCCTTATCCAATCCTCAGAGGCAAGCGAATGTTTGCGAATGTTTGTGGTAGAGATCTAGTAGCTGTCTAACGCTTAAATACCACAATCTCAACGATAATCGACTCAAGCAGCATTCAAAGATATTCATAAAGAAAACCAAAGCCCTCAAATAGCACCAGAAGCCTCCTGCAACATTCGAGGACCCTCGTGGAATACGGACATAAGGAAACGAGAGAAGGTGCTGGAAAACTCACAATTCATGGTGTTGGGCCTTGAAAAACAAAAAAATTTAAAAAGTGTTTTTTCTCGGCAATTATAACAAATGGGCATACATATGTCCACTGTCATGAAAATGAAAGGGGTTTTTTCTCTTCTGAACTAAATCGATACACCATAGCAGTGACAATTACCTTGTTTCCCAGCTTATTCACAAGCATGGATATTCCTGTCGCAATGTATGCAGCATGAATTTGCGACACTTTCACAGCAGACACACGGGACTGGAAGAGCACCAGAAATATCCCAATTAGACGCGTACTAGAAACCTTAAAAATGAGTTATATATAACTGTTCTTTTACCTAAATTTTTATGAGTATTTCTAAACATAGAAGTAAAACCACACAGAATTACATGTGATTCAACCATTAGTATATGAAATTAACTCGAAATTCACCAACCACACGATAATTTCTTGGTCCTCCTGGTAAGGATGCCCCTATACATTCCATCCACTCTTCCATCTTCTTAGGATTATCAATAAGATACGTGCTAACTGAGAGATCCATCTCTTGCAAGCTGTGAAGCAAACGATTCATTGAGAAAAACTAGCAAAAAAGTCGGAACTTACCCTATCGCATAGAAGTCGTATACATCACCATCAGAAAACCATCCGTGTATTATACCAGGTGGACTTTTTCCATTCACATTGAATGTCGTTACACAGATCGAAACGTCCGTAAACTGACAGTATCTATATAATGATGCTGAGATATTCGCAAAATTTCGGACCGCATATGGCTGCGGCGGGGATCGAATCTCGTTACCTTTCGCCAGTAAAAAAGTGATTACAGTACCTACACAGTTATGATAGCATGGCTCATGCAAAGAAGCGAAGGACAAAGGATAAAGATCCTGTTGATCACTTCCTTAGGGATGCCCCATGCACTCGACTTCATAAACATCGTTGGAGGTGATTGAATGCATATCTGGTCTTTACAATGGCTTGCGTTGGTCTCCAATGTATCGAGCCAGTGCTAATACCCTCCCCGACAAGGCTAGTACCAATTTTCCGACCCCGGATGGATGAAAGGCTTGGTGGGCCAAGTGCGCGGGAATCGATCCTATGTGTTATGCAAGGCGCCTCCGAGCACTGCTCCACACACGCCCATAAAGAAACGAAGAGCACATAAAACTACAGAACATGACCATACAGTGGAAAATTTACAACCCACATAATTACTTTACTATAAAAAAGTGCTTGTTAGAAGTCCTTATTTTCTTGATAGTACCAATTATGGCACTAGCTAGGAGACCGCCACAAATATGGGGTCATGAAAAAATTACGGTGCGATATTCTAAAATTCCACATCCCAGAAGCCAATAGTAGCAGAACAGTACACATAGAAATCATAGCGTTACATTCGCAATTACTGTTTCATTGCACATTCCTGTTTCCAGACAATGGACATCAACGAAAACTGCCCTAAACAAGGAAGCCAGCTTGTCACTCATACAAAAATTATGGTAGCTTTTCTGAGAAAAAAAAAAGAAAACATGAAGCGCATGATGTGGTACCTTGCCAAAGGCTGCATATCTTCCCAAAAATCTAGTCCAAATTCGTCGAAGTCGTGAATCACCACCAGTTCCAGTTGCTTTTTTGCCGGAATACTCTTAGAAGTGGAGGGATGACAACTATGATCATACATTCTATTTCTGAATACCTTCTTGACACTAGTTCCCCATAAAAGCACGTCATCCTACATCCCTAATTTTAAAGAAAGCTTGCAACCTACATCATCACTCTAACCAATTTTGAGTCACAAATGGGAACCAAGAAGTTATGGCTCGCCGTCCTTCAACTACCTTTGCTCGAAAATCTACACGCCTTCAATACTCTGAGTTCTGTAACCTCCTCATGAGCCATGCCTCCAGTCTCCCCATGATGAATCACATAGGTCTACACCACACACAGCATTTAGCGGACTTGGAAAAGCTTTTCTCACCTCAACACTGGTACCTGCAGTAAAAAAAAACCCAGATCGCTGTTTAAAAACCATTTAAGAACCAACACAACTCTACATCCAGAACCAAAGCATACCTTTCTTGCCATCCCCTCATGACCTCATCTACTAAAGGGTCGCGACCAGGCACATAAACTCCACGTCGCTTCGTAGATCCCGTATAGAACGTCATCGTCAAATTTGCTCTGCTCGCACAACCATTGCTACAACTGGAACTTACTAAGTACGGCCCACAGCCAACAAATCCTCTTTTGATTTAAAAGTTACTGACTCCAGAATCCCCTTCTGTACCAAAGAATTTAATTTGTTAAAGACCCTGGTTGGTGTTTTCAGCGAATGACAACCAAGGTATCACATCTCAGATTTTCACTGCTTAAATTAGTAATCATGTGACAGGTCAATACTTTGTAACATTTTATTGCATTAACACGAAATTCAGTTAAATAGGTTAAATGGGGTTATAAACGTAATACCAAGCATAAAAGAACGATTCACATTACAATGAATTAACAAAGAATAACCAAAGAGCACAACAATATCTAAAATAAACAGAATGCGTCGAGCAGACCATCAGTTCGCGAACAGTTTCTGTAGGAAGTTCAAAAATAATCAGAACAATTCTAAGAAATACGTAACGTTCCCACTTAATCACGTAACCCACACAATTTCTAATATCTTCCAAAATCTGGGAACAATTCCACGTAACGCGGTCCTAAATCATTCATTATTGGCAAAGCCAATGGGAATACAATCCCAAAGCACTAAGAAAACTCCAAAACCAAAGGAACATACCCATGTACTGTTTATCCTTTAACAAAGCGTCATCATAATCTTTTCTGCTCGCGAATTCCACACGTGCTTCACCAGAAGGGCGGCCGCTTGCTTCATGGATTATTTCAACATGAGCAGGTCGAACTGGTTCAAAGAACTAAAACGCCACAATTCTTCCAGAAAGTAAACCACTGCGATATGTGAAATGAGCAAGGGCTTCATCCAAGCACCTATTACATGTAGAATTCCAGTTTAACAACCAGAGACATTTCTAGGCATTAACTCGTTAAGCTTCCGTTTATTTGCAACAAAACATCGATAATCTGGAGCCAATTACCTATACCATAGGGAAGAATTCGATTACAAAACTGTTGTTGTTAGTTCGTTATTTTGCAACACAGTGCACTGACAACTGACTACAAAGGAAACCAAGTCTGGTAAAAAAAACTTGTGGACACAAATTCTGAGCAATCAAATCCGGAAAACTGCTGCCCTTCCTTCCCTATCACTACCACCCACCTAAACTTCTTTGCCTAGAATAAAATGATATGGGACTTGTCAACAAACACTAAAAATCAACCACAATTTTCTCTAAACACGACTTCCTACATTTCCACCACAACTCCCACTGACAAATCGATCTCCCACTATCCTGCTGTTCGGCAGGTGTACAATCAATTTAATTCCCACCATATTACACCATAGCAATGCCGAAACACTTATTACTTACATTATTCCACCAACTGAACTGTATATGAACCACAATATTCCAACTCACGTCGTAAATATCCGCCTCGATAGCACGGAAGGGCACCCCTCTCATTTTGAGTGTGTACCTCTGTCCAGGTCGTTCACGTCCTCGTGGTGCTGCAGCAGTTGGTCCTCGGGAGTCCTCTCGGTCGCGCCACTGCTCTCGTACACGCATCGGTCCACCTCCACTTCCCGAATAGCCATATTCGTGCCACGAATCGCCAAATCCTGACGTTGCTGATGCTGGTGCTCGCTCGTCGCGCCAAGACTCAGTAAGCCCACGGGCATAACTCTCATATGGATCAGACCTTCCGCGACCATACATATCATCTTGCCTTCTTGAAGAACGCAGGTAAGGATCATCTACCGGCGTAGGGCGCCCATAAGGCTCAGATGAAGGCACAGCTCTACCGTAATGGTCTGCATGGCCAGCCCTACCGTATGGATCTCCATAGGAAGCTCCAACACGAGGGGAAGCTGCACGTCGCGTGTCGGCAGCCCATGGTGACGCAGTATATCCACCAGCATATGGATCTGTTATTGGTACTGAGCCAAAGGCAGGAGCACGGCTATCCTCCCAAGGACCAACAGTCGCAACACGATCACCACCACCAACTCGACCATATGACCCGAGGTAGCCGTCATAAGCGTCCTCGTAGCCAGCACCACGATCCAGAGCACTGTAGCCGCCTCCTCCCCCATTACCACGCGGCACGCGCAGACGGTGGTCATCACAGAACTGCACCATCTCACCGTACGACGCCGCAAACACCTCGATGTATCTGAAAGCCAGCTTTAGCCTTGGGAAATGATTCATTTAAAAGAGTTTAAAAAGTGGCGATGGATGAACGAAGGAAGAGGGATTTTAAAAAGCGCAAATAGAAGTTACTGAATACACCATTTTGGTTCAAAATAAATTTTCGGCACCTCACCCATGAATATGAAGCAGTGATGTACAACGACGAAATTAAAAGAAAGATGGCATAGGCATGAAGCAATTCTCCTAACATTCCTCGGGCTACGCAGCTCAGATAACCTGCTATACATCACAAAATTTCAATTTCACTATCACTTAACCACACCCACACGCCATAACCACTGAATACCGCTACCATGAAATATCTCACCGAGCGATATGTATTCCACAAACGTTAGCAGATTTTCCTACAAAGGCAAAATGCTGCCCAAAGTGTTAACAATAATGGAGGAAAGGATAAAGGCTAAAGCGTTCGGCGTTGATCAATCTCTAAGGGACGCGCCATGCATTCGACTTCATTAAGCTGCTATAGATGAATGAATAGGCATCTGGCTTATACAGTGGCTTGTCTACCGATACCTCAACTCAGTGCTGCTATCCTCCCAAACCAGTCCGGTACCAATTCGCCAATCCGGCAAGGACGAAACGCACCGTGAGCTTGGGAGCGCGACCAAGCCAACTACACCGTGTGTACTGCAGCGCACCTCTCACCACTACGTTACATGCGCTCTCGATTTAGGATTAGATATAGACAACGAATGACAATGAAGCATGAAATACGTTCGCACAGAATAGGAAAACAAGATATAAAATATGAATAAGGTACCTACGAATAACCTACCGGTGTTGCATATTCTTCATGTGACGCATTAATGCTCGATCAGCGGTTTCTTGGTCTACAAACACAACAAATGCTTCACCATTTGTTTTAGCCGCAGCACGTTCATCGGGAAGAAGAATACCGTCCTGAATGTGTACCATCATTTGGGCTTGGTTTAATATTTTCCTTCTACCTTCAAACACATTTTTACAACCTTACTGCCAGCACACAACCCCTAACATACCACTAAAATGGGACCTGTAATCCACCTGCGTACGGTAATCCATGATGTTTCACCAACCCTTTACCAGTAGGTTCCAGTTCCATTCTCAGCAAAAGTATTAATAATCCCAAGATCAAATCTTTAACTTACCGGAACAATGGCCAATGGAGCAAAGAAGTCGAACACGTCACGCTCACGCACACCATAGGGGAGACCACGAAGTCTCACCACCCCTTCCCCAGTCGATGCTAGCAGAGGAGGTACGCCACCACGTGAGCCTCCCCGACCGTAGTCATAGCTGCGCTCACGGCGAGGGCCACGGTCGCGAAAACCTCTACAATTGAAAAGCTTGCAATATAAAGAGTGTACTAACAACAACAAAGACAAACCTATCACGATCCCTACCAACCATTCCTTTTGCCGACTCATCATCAGCTGGCATCACTTCGATGTATCTAAACCAAAACTCATTCAAACCGCAGTACTTCTTAAATCGAAAAAAAAAGTTGACCGGCTTTATAACCCAAGGATATCTTATCTATTTCATCTAATCAAACATAAAGTGTGTGAGATACCACAAAAACTACTTTCCTCTACATTGTTTTGGTGAGACAAAGACCGCTGCTTCTCCAGGCCTCCCAACGATAATAGATTACTGACAAGAACTTAAACAGGAGTCGTTAGGGTGAAACACACTTCATATATAAATCTTTCCTATTTATATTTCTGGACCACTCTCAGCTTTTCTCCTACCACCTCAAAACCACACTCGTCCTAAACATAACGTAAACATTGATTAAAACCAGAAAATTAGAGCCGCCGTATACCCCTATATCAACAGGAACCACTAAACTGATAGTCTCTTTGGGTGCAAAATCAATGTGCTGCGTACCGATGTCCCATGTGCTCCCTATCCTTCTTAAGGGCTCGTTTGTAGTCATCCTCATTGCTGTAATGCACGTAGGCATCCCCAGCCGCCTTGCCGTCGCGCATGATAATATTCACTTTGCTTATTCCAGAATCTGGAATGCTACCCACAGAGTCATTTTATCAAGAAAAAAGGTCTAAATACGTCGACATACAAGGGAAGTTAACAGCAAATAAAATATGGCTATAATACCTCCCAAAAATTTTCTTAGTGAATTTTCATCACATGAATATGGGAGACCCCTGCATTTGATGACAAGATCCTTGACCATTTCCTGAAAATGCGATTCGTTGGCGATAAACCGTATTTCAAACGTTACGAAACAAACGAATGGGACCGAGGGGATTAGAATGAACGAAGGCTTAATCTACTAGCTATTACATCCACAGTAATAGCTTAGTTTAACGTTTTCCGTAATGGAATATCATTGAGAATAGAAACGATGACTATTTAACGAACGTCCATTGGAAGTGCTCTCCCAACGGTTACCACCCCGTCGTGGCTAGGTGGCGTTCCTAGGTGTCAGGCTTGTACAGCGGGAAGATTCATCCTCCTGGCAGGGTCTACCAAGCTGAGGAGCCGGCGTTTCCATCAGAAAACCCAGCAAAGAGTAAAACAATCCACTCCGATCCACTACCGTCCTGGTATCAAACTAGTCGCAAGGTGACAAACCTCCCACTGATCCGCAAGGGCCGCGACCGCTTGTGTTGGTGACGTTCTGGGGCAGACTTCGATCTGGCTGACCTCGGAACACCAAGGAACAACAATCGCTGAACCATTAAAGCTCCGAAGGAATGGGGACTGTGCTGAGGCCCGCACAACCAGTCAGGATGGGTTATCCAAGTATCCAAGTAACCATTACAAGTGCAGGCAAATCATTTCGCACAACTCCTACGAGTCTCTTATTCAAAAAAGTGCGTTTGGCTCAAAAGAACGCTCAAATTTGGAAGGAATGTGAATTGTCTGGCTTGCAGACACCATCTAATGCTATGAAACCGCTAAGTGCGAGATATCCGCCCCAAGATAAATATTTTTCTCAGAATTTAAGCAAACGTAAACAAATAATCAACAGCACCATATAGAGTGCCCGTACTGCAGGGAATCTAACTCTGACATAACTCATAACAATACACAAATGTGAACAACAGGAAGATTTTAAGAACGGGACGCCATGCATAGACACTAACACCTCTTGGAACAAAATGGCGTCAGGACAGGCCTCGATCGATCAAATCCCGCTGCGCGAACGCAGCGCGTCACGGACGATCGATAGGTGGCCCGGAGTGGTGACCTCCGATATGACACAAAGTGCCGTATGCCGTTCGTTTCTTGTTCAAGAAAATGAGGGTTGCTAGAGAGGCAGAACCGAGGCAGAACATCATGAAAAGCTTCGATGGGACAATCAGAGCCAGCGAAACATGACATTTATGGCTAAATTCTCAACAATCAAGTTATGCGAAATTTTGCTCTCGTCTTCGAGAGACGCGGGACATCCTTGGAGCAGTTTCATCGAAGCCCGCCCTACAGATAACTGGAGCCATGGCGGTAGTACCATCTATTCTAGTGGTACCTCCAATACACTTTGCTCGACCATAGGATCACATTGCGATCCAGATCACGCGTCAGTACCCCAACTCACATATTTGTACGCAATCTCATTAAATGAACTGAAAACAATCTTGAATTCGACGGGTTCAACACAGCTGCGTATAATTTATTCGACCAAATACACGTGATACCACAACACCGATCAAATACATGATGGGTAAAGAAATGCAGGAAAAAGGACACGCACAGCTAGAAAACCATCAAATCATCACTTGCTTGACGTGTACTTGGTCACAGCCTTTGTGCCTTCGGATACCGCATGTTTGGCGAGCTCTCCTGGTAAAATGAGGCGAACGGCCGTCTGGATCTCTCGGGACGAAATCGTGGATCGCTTATTGTACTGAGCAAGACGGGACGCTTCAGCGGCAATACGCTCAAATACGTCATTAACGAACGAGTTCATAATGGACATAGCTTTGGAGGAGACGCCTGTGTCGGGATGGACTTGCTTCAGGACACGGTAGATGTAGACTGAATAGCTCTCCTTTCGTCGATGCTTCTTCTTCTTATCGCTACTACGACTGGCTTTCTGACTCTTCGCGGCCTTCTTTGCCCCTTTGGCTGACGGTTTCGGTGGCATAGCGGAACGCACCAGTCAATAGCCCCGCGTCCAATCGCGCTGATATATGTAGTAGCAAACGGCTTGCTCCGCCTATCGAAAAAGGCGGAGGAAACTCTCAGTATGACACTTATATATAACGAGAATTGTTAGGACACTACGCTTGCCGTCTTTGTACTGTTCTGTTATGTCCGGTCGCGGCAAGGGTGGAAAGGCGAAATCAGGGGGAAAGGCCAAGTCCCGCTCTGCCCGTGCAGGACTCCAGTTCCCAGTTGGTCGTCTCCACCGGATGCTGCGCAAAGGCAACTATGCTGCTCGGATCGGTGGTGGTGCACCCGTGTATTTAGCTGCTGTGCTGGAGTACTTGGCCGCTGAAGTGTTGGAGTTAGCCGGAAATGCCGCGAGGGACAACAAGAAGACCCGGATCAATCCACGCCATCTACAACTAGCCGTACGAAACGATGAGGAGTTGAACAAGTTGCTATCTGGCGTTACAATCGCACAAGGTGGTGTTTTGCCGAACATTCAAGCAGTACTTCTTCCAAAGAAATCCGCCGGTGAGAAAGAATGAGTATTGTTTTACTGTTGTCGCTCGTACTCTATGTCTATGTATGTATTGTGTGGCGTATTCATATTGTACTGAAATGAAGTTATGGGAAGTAAATCGCTTTCTGTTCCAATCACAAAAGGAGGAAAAGTGAGAATTGATTCTCATGGGCATAAAGGTGTAACGGTTTTCTAACATAAGCTTTGGGTAGTCATTCTATGTGATAACAAGTTTCATGTTGATTGTTATGTTTTGTCTATGTTTATGTTGTCAAGTCACTTCCGTAGGAAAAAAGTAGGTGATTGGTCGGGCTGGCTCCGAACGAGTGTAGTACATGATGCTCTGACGTTCCTGTTCCTTGATCAGAAACGGTGGACAGGACAGTGGATGCCCATGTGATGTAGCAATCAGCGGATGGACCCGTAGAGACAATTCGAACTCGAAGGAACAGCGCCGTAAAACAGTCGCAGTTTTGCTAAAGTCCCGTAGAGATTAGAAATTGCTTGAAGTTAAGGAATACGAAGTTCAGTCGTGTGGAAAGGATCTATTGGTGGACCAAATGAATAGTCATCGCAAGGTGAGATTGTCGGATACATCACGGATATTCTTAAGCGTTCCCTATCGTTGAGCGCCGAATAACGTTGAAGAGTAGAAGAGGAAACTCTAGTGTCAACAAGTTCGGCTTTATGTGTAAACATGTGGATGTGCTGTGGAACACATAAGAGTGCATACGAGCTAATTTCAACATGGATATAACGATACGAAAATGGCACTTAAACATAGAAATCCTTACTGGAGAACGATCTCTTCTTTTCCTTTAGGTTGTATAATTTTAGGCTATGAACGATTATTGTGGCTTCAGATGTTTGTAGATTCAGAACGACAATGTGAACCAAGTGTTCATTTCCTCAGCAATACCGACCAAGCAAAGAATGTGTGTTCCACTAGGAAGGTCCGGAGAACCACCAGTGACTGTGCTCTTTCCAAGAACAGAGGAAGCCGTCGTTGCAAAAGTGCAGTATTCCTAGCATTCCTTGGACGAGCAGGGCTCAATGAACAGGACTGGTGTGCGACGGAGACAAACTAGTTTACCGATGGGTGCTCATGCTGCCCGATGAGCAGTTGGTTTAGGGAATGTTTAGAGTCTAATTTGGGTCCCGATTTCGCTGAATTATGCCAAAAATATTCTTGAAGTTTTATTTTGCATTTATAAGATTACATGAAAACATGTCTTTACAAAAGAACTTGTGGCAACGTTTCAGTGGAGTCGTCTTTTTGCAATGATGGGGGTCAAATGTCAACAGCAGTCGTTTTCGGCGATGTGGGTCTTTATAATCAAGTCAGATTACAGTTTATGTTGAGGTTAGATGAAGATAGCTCTTCGAAAATATTTTTGAGGTTATTTTCCCCCACTTTGAAAATTATGTTATATTCGGCGTACTTCTGGTCATTCCCACGCACAATGCAGTGTCTTAAATTTGGTTCAAATTTTATAAATATCGCCGGTAGTTCTTCATTGATTCTTCTTTTTAGTTATTCATAGATTATTTTCGGTTTCTCAAGCGTTAGTTCATCCTAAAGCAACACCTATAGTGTTGATGCGCTCCAATACACAGAGGGATGGCTATTGATCAAATTGCTGCCAGACTTTTCTGGAAGAGTAAAAACATTGACCTTATACATCGGCAGTGTATCGTAAGCCAGTGTATAGGTCAGATATGAATTCGATCACCTCTACGGTGCTACGATTGGAATAGAATGCAGGGTGCACCGCTGTAGAATTGATCAACGCCGAACACTCTACAGTTTTTGAAAACCCGAACATCTGGCCCTGGTGCTAGATTACCAATTACCAATGATTCTTATCAGTTATCTGCATCCTAGAATACTGTAGAATGTAAAACAAGCACCACAGAAAGCGATTCGTTGAATAGCGTGCGATGTTAAACTCGAGAGGAAACATTCACAGGAAACCATTGTAGTTTCAAATTGATATCTTGTGAAATTGTGAGACCTTTCTAAAACAATATCAATATGTTAACCATTATGCCAAATAACCGCTGTTCGTCAGTGGGTAGTAGTAGTAGTAGAGTGATCCTTTTGAAGTTGGAACGAAGTTTAGAAACAAAGTAAACAAGTTCAGCTAATTTCCGGGTTTTCACTGGTCATTGGAGGAAGAACGGCTCAGAAACGTCCTAGTCCATTGGCATGATGTCGGGAATTATTTGGGGATGAAAAAACACTTCCAACTAAGAGACCACTGGTTTAGTCCGCCTTATAATGATGGCGCACTGGTTTGGCACTGTCCTGTTTCATCATCATCTATTCTCGAGTGACTGAAACATGTATGTTTTCATCGTAACTCTTGCGTAATTGATCCAGCAACTTCTGCTCACACATAGGTGGGCGGGCGTTGATTTCGATGCATGCATTTCCGATTCTCAATTTCGTAGCAACAAATCTTAGTAGATTAGGCTAAAACCAACAGGTTCTATAGATTTTCGCCGACAAGAGGTAACTCTTCCTACTCTATATCTATAAGAGTTCTATTTCTGGAACAAGTGGAAAGGCAAGGAGGCAGAAGCAAACAGAACATTTTCGCTCCTTTTTGTACGCCTTTTTGTTTTCATATTTCGAAGTCCAAAGCAACTGAACAAGCGGCACCACCGCATGATCCACTGTAGTGCTGACGCTTGGAGCTGCTACGCCAGCGTTGAAAACTTTATAAATTCAAGCTTCGTGCCCATTCTTTTGACAATTTGACTTTTGGGTAAACTTAACATTTAAAGGGCACTTTTAAAAACCACTTGCTAACGTACGGCCAAGCCTTTCTATAACTCTAACAGGTCCTCAAGTCCTCGAACATCGGCATATCGACGTTCGTCAACAGGATCTCAGCGCTTTAAGGAGCACCGCTATGAATAGCGCAGTGAATGTTGACCTTCATCCGACTTCTTCTCGGCTGGGTCGAGTAGACCGTTGAGGATATTCTCTAACAACCGCGATTGTATTTGATGTCCAAATCAAAACCGCCTCATCAGCGCATGGACAGAGAAATTTTCACATTTGATGAGAACCGAAGGAAACTTCTAAGCACAACAGAGTTTCGCATGAGTTTCTCTGGCGATGAAACTCTGTCCACCTTTATGAAACTAACAGTGCTTCACGTGGAGTTTTTAAGAAAATATGATTCCAGTTAAATTGCACGATCGATTTTCATCGATTTCTGATCATATCTTGAAATGAAAAGAATAAGAAAAGAAAGTAACAAAACAGGCAAACCCAATTATTTTGAGAACTAGAAAAGTGGCTGAAAGAAAAACGAAGCGAAAGATACGTTCGGGGTGGTGGTGAATGCACTATCCCCCGGAAAGGGTAATAGCGCGTTCGTTCCCCACCGCAAACACTTGCGGTCCGGAGTTTTGCAAATATCTCAGCATCATCATGAATGTATTTTAAAAAAGGTGACCAAGTGTATTAACAAAAATATATAAAACGTTAAATAGAAATACCGAGGTTAGGCGGAAGTTGATTTGCAAAACTGGAACTTTGAATTTAGCACCATCGGTTTCAAACCATAAAGGTGTGCAGCTATAATGGCCGGACTACTTGTTTGTGTGTCCAAGTGTTTTGCTCCCTATATTTCCCTTCTGCATTTAAGATACTGCCAAGGTTTCCGAACAAATCCCCTATATTAATGAATTTTTCCTAAAAACTGCGCTCTATTCCAAGAGAAAGTAAGCATGTCGTGGAAAGGGATGGAAAATAAAGAAGAGGTTAAGCCCGCAAGTGAACAACAGACATTCAGTCGTCGCCGCCCCCAGTGATGTTCGTGTTCGATTCCACACTCCTCCAGCCCACACCCAGTCATCAATGACAATACGCTGTGTCGATGAAGTAGCAGCTCTCGACCAAATTTCGAAGGCATTTGCGTCATCTTCACAAATATTTGTTCGAGGTTTTTATTGCGCTCCATTGCGTTGCCAATTGCGAATTGAGATTGGGAATGTAGGAATACGTGAGATAGGAGATTCCACCCCCGAGATGATGTGTTCAAATGGAACGTTTCCAGACGTGATCACTTCCACAGGACAATGTTACCAGGCAATGGACCACCCGGCGCGCCGTGAAACTGCAGCAGGTCGTCTGCAGTGCCTTAAGCAGATTGTGCATAGTAGTAGTTCTTTAAATCTTCCATCCTCTCAATTCTGTGTAAAAGGACACAGCCAGTCCTCCGCTTCACTGGATTCGACTCGATGCGACCGACAAATGGACCATCGCGATCAGGGCGGCTGGCGAAGCCGCCGAAACGCCAGCCGAAGAAGCATTCCATGGCTATCCAGCGTCAACTCAATCATCTAGGAGAGCACGGTGCACTCAGATGCATTCCGCAGTTTCCACGAACGCACTCGGATGGTTGTGGTAACTTGCGTGCGTTGCAGACTGCCAGCAGTGAGGCCGCGGGCCCGACCCGCCGACACCGCCGCGCGGAATGCGCGCGCGCGCTATCGGAAATCCATCAGCTGCGGGCGCGGCCGTCGCGTAGTGTGAGCGCCCGCCTGGCTGAGTGTGTGCGGCACGCGCTGTCATCGTCGAGTGTATGAGCTGCACAATTCCACTGGCTAAGGTGAGCTCGACTGTATTCGGACCCACAACCCGACCGGCTCCTCCTCCCAGTAGGGGCTGGTCGGGTGGCCCCACACCGTGCCAGTGATCTCACTGCGCCAGTAGTACGTCATGCTTGTATGGTATTGCTGCTGACGTTGTACTGAAGGCAATGTGCCTAAAATGCCAGAGTAGTTTCTAAGTGATCGTTGGAAGCTCATCATCGCATGTGCATAGAGTTCGCGTGTTTCTAAACTTGTGGCTAATGCATTGGAAGCACTAGTAGTTGGCTGGTTGGCTGACTCAACCAGAGCTCACCAGACCCACCGGATCCCCGTCGTTGGCTGTTTGTCCGTTGCAGCTAATGGCATTGTTTTAAGCTTTAATGTATCAATATAGTACATTATTACGTATTGTAGTGTGTTTCGATTTTAAATTTTCCAGTTCTACAGTTCATTATAGAGCGACGTTCCTGCTCGTACTTTCTTTGCCTTCTTTATCACTGTTATCAGCTGATGTGATTATTTAGACATCAGCACTTTTGTGGTAAAGTGGGACCAAACTCGAGAAATCGTTCCTTACAGGCAACGATTTTGAGAAGCTTCGAGTTCAAAAGTTCCTTAAGAGAAACCTGTGCAGTTTTCTTCGAAACCGTGGGGTATTCATGATGTAAGCTCATTCCCAAAAGTGAATTGAGTTAAAGAAAATGGACCAGGTATCAGTTACCTCGAAAATTTTTCTGATTGTTTGGTGTCTCTGGTTTCAGTTGGACATTCTGAGCCGTCGCCTACAAGAAAGCGTACAACTACGCACGCACAAGTACTTCCGTGTGGCAGTACCGCAGGCACTCACTGGCCAGTCCCTCGTCGCGCTCGTCGGCGAGAAGGTACTGTTCCGTTCGTTCGCATCCAGTTCTTCGGTATTCTTTTTTGACCGTTTTTGTCGTTAGTACCCTTTCTTAGTTTTTGCAAACTTAGTGCTAATCAACTTAGAGCAAGATGCTCAACTCATAACGCCGAACGTGCATTGAAATCAATGCATACGGTGCGAAGGCAATGGCTGCATTCACGTTCAAACCAACTTATTTCGACTTATAGTAAACTTTGTTAATCTGATTAGAAGCTGTTAGAATCAGAACCAAGAAGATGCGAATTTTTTGTTCGATAAAGGAAAAATCCTGGTATTTGGGATACCTGAAACTTAAAAATTGCCTGTTTTTTTGTCGAGATCCATATTTTGAACACGAATGCAATTGCACAGACGGAATTGGTCCAGCAAATGATTTTTAACGTATAACTCTCCATTCTTTTGTTTTAGGATTTGTAATTGCGAACAACATGAAATTTAAAATATTTTGTAGTTTGTATTTTGGACGATAGACCAAAGTGCTATGAATATAGGCTATGAAGCCCTCAACTGCTCGAATACTCCAATGATCGAGAAATTATAGTCAATTGTCGAAAAACTAGTCTCAGGCGTTATGTGTTAATGGACGTACTGCTATAACTGAGAAGATAATATGAAAATATCCATCAACTGGTGTAATAGTTATATTTCCAGTTATGTGCATCCATTTTTAAAGTCGACCGCCATTTAAGGTCGACATAAATAGTCAATATTTCCTTAGATTATTGAGGTAATACAATGTTGGTAGAAAAGAGGGTGAAGGCGCCGAAACGCTACTCCGATAAGACTTTTTGTCAACCTCGTGTTAGCTTAATAATCGAAGAAATCAAATGGGTACATTTTCCTTACAAGGGTGCTGTCGATGTATAGCGTTTTCCGGTTTTAAGTGTTGGTCTATTCGGTCAATTCGGACCGTTTAAGTGTGATAACTAACCACTATGGCATGTAGCCATGTCGTCCGTGTGCCGGCAGCTTCAGAAGCGTTCGACTTGACGGACGGCTCGCGTGCGTGATGATTCCGTGATTCTGGATTCATTTAGGGCTGTGCCGAGGACGAGGCCGAGGCCGTGCACCTGGCTACGTTGCTGCTCCAGCACGGCTACCTGTTCCCGGTGATCGAGCCGGCGCTGACCGTCCGTGACGACGGCACCCTCTACCGACTGCAACGACCGTACTTCTGGCCATCGCACGCCACGCAGACCGACAATGTGGAGTACGGTAGGTTGGCCGGCTTTCGTCTCGCTTATTCTCCGTCCTGTGATCTGAATCTGTCCGACTGACAAGCACGGAAATGGACCAAACAGTCTGAAAGTCTTTTCTTTCACCCGTTAGTCGTTGATGTATTGGGTGCAGTGCTAGGCAGTCTAACAGACAGTCTACGTAAGCTCTTTCGAACATTCAGAAATAGAAACGTTTAGAAACAAAATCTTGTTTGTGGTCATCAGTTCCCTTTCATACTTCCTTTCCTAACAAGATCTTTCGTTAAAGAACTTTCTTACCATGTCAGTCGTTCAGTTCTTATAAAAATGCAAAAATGATGACAAGTTCTGAGCTTCGTTTTTGTATTCACAGCGCAGAGGTTCTGGACCCCATCCTCTTCTACTATACTCTCTACCTTTTGTTTATATCAAGTATACAAAACAATTAGCGATAGAAAAATGCCGAAATGTCAACTACACAAACGAAATCTGGTTGGATTCTGGTTCTGCTTGTAGTCACTTTGAATGGCAAAACGGAGTCAGTGACATCCTGCCAGACTGCCGAGACGCTCCGGACGACCCGGCCCGAACAGTCAGCTAGCGCGCGCGTCGTGTGTGGTGTGGCGTCCGCATCGGCAGCCTCCGCGGCGCCCTGATCGATAGCAGCCGAGTGGGCCGACCCGTTGCGACAGTGTTCAGAGGCGAGCTTAGTTTACACAAACACATCGTTGACGTCAGTCGGTGGTGCTGAAGCGCGTGAATATCCGTGGAGTCGTGGAAAAAAATGGAGCTGAAGAAGTGCAGTGCATACATCGACAGTTAGAGGACAGATGTGGAAGTGCGGAAGAATGACAGTTTCGCAAACTTGGGTGCAGCAGGGTCTATCAGTGGAAACTGTATCACACATTTTTTAGGGAGTTTTTTTAAAAAATATCTGCAGAATTCTCAGGTAGTGGCATGTTGCTTTCCCCTTCTCTCCTATGCCCCTATAAGGTGCGGTAGGGAAAAATCCAGCGTGACAGAAGGAATTCGTTGAATATTGGGAGACGTAATTGTCACCAGAACGTCCAGTGTTTTTCATCGTGATGTCGGTTTCTAGGCTTTTACTGTCATAGTTGAATATCTTTGAAGGGTTACGTATTGTATGAAATGCTAGTTCAACCGTTTGAAGTGGACTGCTGTAGTTATCAATAGCGTAGGATTTCATGGTCCCTAGATTTCGAGGAAGATGAAGTATCAGATATTTCATTTCTGTCTAGAAATGAATTTGAATGAAGTGGGAAATATTGTTGATGTGATTATAGAGTTCTATGAGGACGATAGTAGTAATTGCCAATCAACACAACTGATTTTTAGCCATCTACCTCAATAAGCGCTTACTCAGAAATGAACAAAAACACGGGCTAGAGGAGGATGAGGCCGAGTCGTATAACAGGTTTGTCCGTTTATCAATCAGTCGATTAGATCAGCTTCGTGATTGATCAGAGTACTTCGTGTCTACAGATTCGCCGAATTATTAGGGCATATGTGGGGATTCATTACACAGCAAGCTGAAATGCAATTAAAGCAGCAAAAAGAGAAGAAGAAGGCCGACAAGGTTTGCAGAGATTCTATTCACTTCTGAATATTTTCTTAGAAATTGCTTTCAAGTTGGAGATTGGAAACTCAGATGAGGTTTGAATGTTGGATATCCGAGAGCTGAAGAGGAAAATCAAGTATGCAACCATCGTACCATCATGATGCGAATTTGCTGTTCTCGTGGTGAGAATGTCGAGCCCTGTATATGGAAGCTAGGGTGCATGTGCCTTAGATGAAATGTAAGGGTATTAGGAATTTTAGAAATCGCAGTAGGAGTTAAGAACAAACCGGTAATCGCAGATTTCATTAGTGTCTTCTTATATTATAGTTGCTCGACAGGTGCATTAACACCTAGGGTCCGACATGTGTTAATTTCCACTCACACTGTGCAAAGATAACGGACGCTTCCACTTTAGACGAACGGATCACTCTATTCAACGTGAATTTTCTTCATTGCAATGAAAAGTGTTGGAATCGACAATCTTTGCCTATAGGGTAAAAGTCCACTTGTTTTCTGACAATCGAACCTTGGTTTTTGGAGTCCACTAGACGTATATTGTGCATCGTAAATTTTTTCCGTCAAGGTTAGTGTTTTGCAAATGAAAGTGGTTGTACAACCGGTGTTCTCTCCGTAGGAATACGACTGTTCCCAAATGCCTCGTTCATGTTTGTTGCCACCGCGATTCTGTTTAGAATTTTGAAGTCCTAAATTTCTTTTCTCAATTTTTTTTAGAAATTTTAACTCTGAACAATTTTAAAAAATAAAGAGCGGCTTTAAAGAACCGTATTTCTTCTTAAATAGATAGGACAAAGCATCTTTTGTAAACCAACCGACGTTTTCAACTCTTCAGTTTTTCTAATAATCGAAAAGTTATCGTCAGAATGTGAAAAACCGGCTTTAGTCTCTAGGTTTTAACTAGTTGTCTCCAGCGATCAGCAGCTTTTTGCTTTTTTTTCTTTGTTGAGTCGGCTTTACAGCCTGTTTTGGTTTCCGAAAGGAAACTGCTGGAATGACTAGGATCCTATAAGGTTTATCTCGAGATTTAGGTGGTCTACGATTCGGAGGAGCGGGCGTTTTGGCGGTTGCGGAGACCATGTCATCCCGATTTCTTGGAGCAACACGTTCAAAAGGTTAGTTCGATGTAACAATGTAAATCACTGTTATCATTTTGAGACTAGTTTCTTAGCGCTCATGCACTAATTTTTTCAACTTCTTGTCTAGGTTTTATTACTGTCGTTTTTCGTTATTTCGATATTGCAATCTAGTATTATATCGGCCATTTTTAGTTCTGTAGAGGAACTTTTTATGGAAAGCCTAAAAATGTTTTCTAACCACAAAAATGGTTTTGAAATTTGTAAGATTATTCATTTGTCTTAACGACAGCTTTTGACAGCAATCTACAGATGAGGCTTGTGTGTGGCCTAAGAGTATTGCGGTTTAGGTTGATCGAAGACTACGCAAAGCGACTGCACAAAGCTATCGTAATCTGGTCGAACGTCTTAAGTTCTCTTTGAAAACGAAGCCATGGTTGAAGGCTTTGAAGGCGTCTGATACGTGAGTGTGCAACGTTTTAACACATGCACGACCGTGTGCTTTGAAATAAATGCATACCTGCGTCAGGGACAGAGTGACTAGTTTGCATTGATTCCAATTCCTTCCCATTCTTTTGTGTCCATTTTGCCTCACAAGGCTTTTTTGTTTTACATTTTACAATCTGTTGGTAACTTGTCCAACACATGTTGTGCTAGACGTGTTTCATAAAAAACTATTATCTACATTTAATAGTTTACAACCCGCAGCGGGTAATTGCAAAACTGCTATGGTTGAGCACTGAATTTTGAAACAAAGGGACATTTGTCGTCACAGCAGGATGGTAAAATGATTGAGAAGACGTGTGTAGACGTTCCGTGATAGGGGAAAGCAGTGAACGTTCACAGAGTTCTTGTTCATCAAGGTATACACTGCGAATTTGAAGCGCAACATTTTTGCAACCCTTATTGTCGCAACCTCCCACCGCGTCATCGTGGCTAGAAGGTGTTCCTGAGTGTCGGGCTGCGATGTACAGCGGTGGTAGTTATCCCCGCGAAGGGTCTCCCAAGTTGAGGAGTCCGGAGTTTCGCTCAGGAAGCCCAGCTAAGAATAAACCAATGCCAGGATCCACCACTGTCTTAGTACCAGACTAGTCACATGGTGGCAAATTTCCCTCTGATTCTTCAGACTTTTGCCAGGCTGACTTCGGGACTCCAGGTAAACACAGTGGCTAAATCAGCAAAGCTGTGAAAAATGGAGAATATGCAGGGACCACACATTCAGTGAGGACGGCCCGTCCAAGTTTACAAGTAACCTGCAGTTCGTACAAGGACAGTTTTACACTTCTATCAGTATACGTCGTTCATAAGTGGAGTGACAACTTGTTGAACTTGTCTTTTGTATTATGGTCAACTAAATGAAATTCAGGCAAGTCTTCTAAATCTGGGGCTTGGCATTACCCTTAGACTCAAGAGGATCAGATTCAGAAATAAAGCAGGTGTTCAGGTTGTTTCCGAGCATTAGTAGTCCAATATTTCCCATCTACTCACAAACTCTCTTTATTTCTTCGATATTTGTCGGTTCCCATGTCTCATCCTTCTTTAGTCAATAGCTTTTGGTTTGTCAGACAAGAAGTTTTCAAACATCAGCCATTAACATGAAAAAACATGAAATTCGTAAGAATATATTGCTAGAGTGCCTCTAAGCAGGTTTATCCATTCCAAAGTGGTTTCCATGGGAAGTACAATGGTCCATGAGCTCCATATTGTCCACCGACCAACAGCTTACATCATCGTCGTCCTATCTCATCGTCACCTTCGCGCTCATCCTGATAGTTAGATTCTTCCGGATTCTATGGACATGGCAAGGGTATCCCATTTTCTCCAGTACTTTTATCGTTTTCTTATTCCCTCCTACTGAGTTCTGGATCGAAAATGAAGCTCGATTCTCCTGTTGGCTATTTAAGTCCATAAAGTTTGATTTTTGGCCACCAAAAAAGCAAAGAAATGGGTGCGAAACTTCATGGAAAAGGTCCATATGGAGCGAAAAAGGGGCACAGTTATTTTAGGGGAACTGAACTGCATGTATTAAGTTGAATACACCTGTGTGTGGCGAAGAATTGGATGTATTCGGGTGCACCCATCACAAAAAACAAGGTATTTGCTAACTGTTTTTGTTGTAATTGTTTCAAAAAAGATTTATGCACTTAATGCTTTAGTCTTGTTGTTGTCTTTAAGTACCTGTAGCGCCACCTGGAATGCGTTTACAGAATGGAGCAGTTCTTGCTCGAGCTTAATCCCTGAACACGTAACGTCCGGCGCTCAGATTCGCGTGGCTGTCGCCAATGGTGGCACCTAATTTCACAGGAGCTGTACAAACAGTAGAAGTAAAACTAGACCGTCGGCCGGATGAAAACACTGCAAATAGTGAGCCATCCGGTTTTCAACAATAAACAGTTACAGCGGTGCTGAGATATTTGCAAAACTCCGTGTCTGCCGTGGGGAACGAACGCGCCTTTACCCTTTCCGGGGGCTAACTCGTTCACCACCACGCCATGCAGGTCCTTCGTTTCGCCTGTCTCTCAGCTAGTTCAGTGGCAGCGGCAACCACCTGTTAACGGGATTGATCTGGGTAGCCCACTTCGGCATTGAATCCACTTAAGCTGAGGCTGTAGTTGAAATCACAATGTTTACTTTTTATTTTCTGCCTCCATAATTTTATTACTATTATTTGGATATTACTACTCTGCCGTGAAAATTGTGGAGGCAGAAAATAAAAAGTAAGCATTGTAATAAACAGTCAATTTTCGATACCTAGGAGAGTTAAGAGCTATGGGTTTGAAAACATCACAGAATTATAAAATAAATTTCGCTTTGCAACCACAGTGATGCTTTTTGATGACAACGATAATAATAACATTCGCAAAACTTGAACAGAACACCGGGTGAGATTGAACGACGACTACCCTTTTCGGGGGCCTACGTGTTGCACACTGCACCACTTAGGGCTTTCCTTTGCCTTTCTATCAGCTAGTTTTCTACTTAACGCTAAGACGTCAGCGGGATTGATCCAGGGAATACAAATCGGCATTTGATCCAATTAATTTGAGGCTATAGTCGAAATCATAATGTTAGCCTTTTATTTGCTACCCACTGTTATTTTTCACGGCAGGGTATGTCAGTCATTGTGAAACTTCACTGAGTCACTCTGAAGACAGAGATATGACTGTTTTATATATTCTACTATAGTTCAGCGTTAAAACATATTTAGGCCAAAATATGGAACCGTTCTACAACTTACATTGAGCGTATTCTAGGTATTTCTCATTTCGCCTCTTCCATACGATAACCACAGCGCGTCATAACAATTGGAAATATGAATACAGTGAATTAGTGATCAAAAATCCAGTGTTTTTTTTCCTATTTCCTGATAAACTTTAGTAGTAGAGGATTTACGATGTTGGTAGCCTGACATAGTTGCAGTAGAGGCTGTGCACTATCATTGCAAGGAAAACTTGTGGCATTTCTAAAGTGTTGTTTCCATTTTGGTTTCATTTCAAAGTTTCTTTACTTTTTCACCTTCATTTCGATTCGAGAAATTTACTTGATATCGTGATAAAATAAGAAAGACGATACCTAGATTCCGATACTCTGATTCAATTGATACTCTCCATTATGAGTTGAATATAGCTGCTAAAAGGTGTAACTGGTTCCGCCTATAGTTGGTGCATGGGTCTTTCCTGAGTGAGGACTTATTTCAGAGAGGGCCAACCTTAGAGGAACTTGACTGTGTGTAAGAATTGGAAGAGGTGTGCGAAGGTTGTTGATTGTATGTAAGGATTGCAAATCCTACCTAGGCGCTGTTGTATTTAGCATTTATGTATAAAATGTAACTTGGAGATCGTAAAACAAATGTTCTCAAGTGCAACATTGTAGATATCGATAGATAGTTGTGGTAATAACATTTGGTAATTATTTCAAAAGACAGACCGCTGAGTTGCATTGATGAACTCTGTGAATACCGAGCCACTCCGAGGAAGTCTCCTCAACAATTTCTCATTTATCATAGCGATAGTTGTCCCTGGATGTCGCATTCCAGTGTCCAACCAAGTAGAGAGATTTCTGCGACAGTCTCCTTTGTGCATACTCTCTTCCGCAGCAACACTCTCTCGTAGCAAAGTGAATTCGTCCAGAAAAAAGTTCGTTAATTATTAACTGAAGCGAACAAGTATTCAGTGGTCGTACAAAACGTAATACCTGTTCGCGACGAGCTGTTGACTAAGTGCAAGAAGTATAGTGTAAAAGCGCACCATAGCAAAAAAATCGCTGACCAAGAACAGCGTACGGCACTATGAAATTCGTCTACTTTGCCACACTCCATCCACGCATAGAATGCAATACGGTTTGGAGGTGATATATTCATTGACGTTTCAGGATGGTGCAATGGGTAGATCAACGGGTAGATTACGATCCATACCTCACAGCACCGCAGCCATCGAATCCATGGATCACCGACGACACCAATCTGTGGGCGCTCAACACCGACACGTAGGCGAATCGAATATTTTCGAGATATTCACAATTTTCCATATCGAGTTCTGCAACGTCATCCTATTTTATTTTGTAAATACTGTGATTAATCCAGACTAATGAAAGAGACAGAGAGAACACACACCATTATTTGAGTTCATCAACCTTCTAGGCTTCAGTACGAAGCAAAGACGTGGTTCTGAATCCTCTTCATTGCAAACATTTTGATTATTTTGCTTGAAACTTTATTGCACTATTTGGTCTCTAAACTTATTTTTAGAATTTTATTAGTTATTTTTCTAAAATATTCTCATATGTCAAGTGCAGTAGAAGTTAGCCAGTGGTTAAACATCTTTTCGTAAAAACGCTCTAAAGGAGCATCAGTTCCAGGTATATGAAAATATCTCCTAGATGATGTTCAGCGAGACATTCACACTCATAAAGTACTAGGAACTTCAACTGGTCTAAAAAAAAGTTCTAAGGAGTAAAACTTCCAGCGTTGATCGGTACCTAGGGAATGCGCCATGCATTTGACTTCATCAAGCATTGTAAGAGATGATTGAGTGCATACCTCGCCTACATAATGACTTATGGAGGCAAATGGGCATATCGAATTAATTTTAGTCCTTCCAAACAAGTCTGGTATCAATTTGCTGACCCGCTCGGGTGCTTGATAAGGTGCATGGGATCGAATCGGTGACTGTGTACGTGTTGCAGAACACCTCTAACTCATATACTATGTGCGCGCATGATTGAAGAATACCCAACAAAATACCTCTTATTAAATTTGTTATACATTTCCTGAGACGCGTGTGGCGCAGTGGTCACAGGTTCCCTGCGACACACACATGGGATTGATACCCGTGCCCGTGGCTCACGAAGCTTTCCATCCGTCTGGAGTCGGCAAATTGGTACCAGACTTGTCTGAGAGGATAGCAGCACTGGCTCGATACATCGCTATCCCACCACGAATCATTGTATAGGCCAGATATACATTCAGTAACCTCAGACGATGCTTAGTGAAGTAGAATGCATGGCGCATCCCTCAGGGATTGATCAACGTCGAAAGCTTTATCCTTCTATCCTTTATATAGTTTGGTTCTTTCCATTTTTACAATTTTCTTTGTTAACACAGATGTTATGGAAAAATAGAAAGACATATTCCGGATTATACAACTGGATCAACAGGTATTTCGTATTCCACGCAATAGCGAAATGCTGAGGGAAGGGTAGTTATACAACACTTTGTAAGCAGATAAGAAGAAAGCGGAGTTCCTATCTCTATAATAACTACGTGGCCTTTTACTATTTGTTGTTTTTCAGTGTTGAAGTCCCTACCGAAAGACGAGTGAAACGATGGGGATTATCGGTACAGGAATTAGTGAAGGATCCAATAGGACGTCAAGTGAGATACTATTTCCTGTCAAAGAAAATTGTAAACAATCGAAAGTTGGTAATTAATTATGATTATTTGATCGAATTATTAGCGTCGAGTGTCTGCGTAGGAATGCCATCACTTTGAACTTTGAAAAAGGAATAATCCAGTCCTTTGTAAGATTATTTTGTACTGAGTGTTGTAAGAATTGATTCGTAGGTGCTGGAGACGTTCCTTGAGTCCGAATTTTCTTCGGAGAATATTCGATTTTGGATTGCCATTCAAGATCTAAAATACTCGCCGAACGAGCAAATCGACCACAAAACTGAGCGTATTTATGAAGAATTCCTAGCACCCGGAGCACCTGCACAGGTATTTGTTCACTGTCTTGCTCGATGCCATCGGTTTTCAAGATCGTTCCTTCCGTACTAAAATGCGAGCTTTCCCCCGTTCGAAACAAGTGTAAAGCTTTTATTTTATGCTAATAATTGTCTTAATTGATGTCTAATTCTCTATGCATTCATAATAGCTAGAAAAAAGAACTGACCGTTTAATATCTCGGAGAACTAGTAGTTTCATGTGTGTTGTTCTTGGCTGATCTTCCTCATTGATATCGTAGTGGCTATTGCGACCATTTGATTCATTGCAATTTATAATTTTCTGTTGCTTCTACTCTAGTATTTTCCTTATCGTTAAATAATAAGGAAAAAGACGCATTCAGATGAGAGCATATTATTCCAAAACAGTCTTTTTCTCTAAAACTGTATAAAAACCAGAACTCCGCTTATCCAATAAAGCCTGATTTCTAGCTGATTCCTTGCTTTTTCAGGTAAATGTCGATTCACGGACATTGGATCAGACGTTAGAATGTCTACAGAAGGCAACGACAGCATCGGCCCGACGTCATGCGTTCACTCATTCGGAGGAGCATGTTTTTACGCTAATGGCTAAAGATTCCTACCCAAGATTTGTGCGCTCTCAGATCTACAAGGTGTGTTGACTTAGCGCACGATTGCAAAACAGCTTCGAATAAGTGAGTTAGAGCGTGGCGACATTGCATTATTCCATGAACGTTGATTTTCTTCATACTTGTAAAAAACCCAGATATATAAACAAGCACTAAAGATCAACATAAAAGCGCACCGAGTAGTGAAGACACTGAGCTGTCGTGAAGGCGAGTAATTTGAACCTTCAAATGACACACTTTACAGAATTTTCACACGTCTTTTGCAGGGAGTTTTGTCAGCCGCTCAACAACAAGGATCAAGGCGGTTGGGTTGGCGAAACTTCATCTTCAATATGGGGGCGGCAAAGAAGCCGCAATGCAAGCCGGTTAAACGCGACGAATTACACTCGGCTAACTTACCCAAGCAGCTCAGCTCTGATTCATTACCGATACGAACGGGTCATGCTAGCAGGCGAGTATTTTGATGCTTTTCTTTGCATTCTACCGCGTTAACTTCACACTCTAAAGGTCCTTGTAATTGCGGTGGAAAATCAGAAGATTGAAGAGTAAAAGGTTGCTAGAAAATGCTGTGTTTGCGGTGAAAATTTATCAGGTTTCACAGAAAGTAACAATAAAAGACCTTGAAAAAACCAACAGAAAATATAGGAAACTTCTAAGGGTTAAACATTGTACACTTTTAGGTCGGAAACTTCGGCCGAGTGATGTGTGTACTTATTGGCCGATTCGGAACACCAAGCGTATAATGGCGATCTGGACAATCGAGTTGTCGACAAGTCGGGTACGGTTATTCGCTCCTAGTGGTTTTCCGTCGACAAATATAGTTCTTGCGCCTACGTTGGTCATTTCAAATACTCCTGAAGACGGATCTCGGGCAATGATCGCTTGTCGTCTCGAAACTTTTTCTGCAGGACCTTCTAACGCAAGATCCAGGTCAACGGGATCACGCGGTGTGCTGCGTCCAAGCACCACTCGATCTGTCCGGACAAGGTAACGGACAACTCGTCCACGTAACGTTGCCCGGACGTCGGCGGCTGGGCTACAAATGCCCGTTACGGGCTGCACGACCACTCGGGCATATTCACGTTCACGAGCATCGCACGCGGCCGCCGCATTCAGCGCCCTCGTCTCATCAAAATTCACTCGTCCTGTGAGGTCATATGTCCGCTCCAGCATTTCCCAGTCCAACATCGCTGACTGTGGTCCTGGCGCCAGAATACCATATCTGTAACATATAAAAATCTCTCAAGATCAAAGCATACTTGAACACAATACTCATCTTTAAATAAACATTTTAGAAAAACCTGCGGATGCAAACATGTTATTTTGAATGTTTTGTCAGTAATCTACGATGATATTGCAGAGGTATGGTTTGAGCCTTGTTTATAAACACTTTCAAGTAAGTCTTCCGTTTTCTCAACACCAGCCACCTTGTTTTCCCACATATGTGCCGCCTCTTCTGTGTTGGTGACCAGAACACATACTGATTATTATTAGACATAATGAATGGACATAATCGCAGCTGTGACCACTGCCCCATAGAAAACATGTTCTAATAAAAACTCGTAATTTTTGATGTATCTTATCGAGATTTCTACTCACATTATATTTACGACAGTGTTTTCTATGACCAAGGTCTTCGTTGAAAAAAAAAACGCAGAAATCTCAGCCTAAAGTCATCACACCACAGTACTAAGTAAGCTGCGCCGTCGTGACGTCTTTGTGCAAGTCATAATGGATCTCTCCCAATTCTTCACGGCAACCGCAAAGCTATTGTATGTTAACTTTTTAATTGCTCAATTTAATTGTCGGTATCGAGCCAACACGTATGTCACGGTTGTTATCATTTTTCATTTTTGTAAATGAATATTTAGCAAGTATCGTTATTGCTATTGATGAAGTGAAAACGTACGAGTTGAGGATATGCCAATGATCTAGCAACGACTGAGGAGTGCGAGCAGAGTGGAAATCTTCTGGATACTTTTTTATTAAATCCTCCATCATCGTACGGTCAGGACAAGAATTAGCTCCAATGTCAAGTCCACGCAATAAGTCCTCTTCTCTCACAGTAAAAGCGGTGCGAGACTGGAAAAAAATTCACAAAATCCCAGAACTTTTGGCAAATATGTGGTATATCCATTAACCAAGCAAAGTAATGTACGACGTTGTTGTACTAGTTTAAGAAAAAGTAGTGAGGAAGGAGAGAAGGCAGGAGAATGTAAAGACATCAGGAATACACATTTTGCAAAATAGCTGTTGTGGATATACCTGAATTCGCAAAATCTCCTCAACAGGCAACTCATTCATTCTTTTCTTCGCTTGTCGTGAAAGAGTGTCATCGTACATAAGCTGGTACCACCTAAATTAAGCAGTATTGAACCACTTGTTCCAAAGAAAAACCGGTGTTATTACAGCGATGGTCGATTATGACATTTATCAGCGAAAGTACACATCATGTAAACCTTCGGCTTCAATTATAGAAATAAGGTAAACTACTTCATAACTAAGGAGGAAATGATAACTCCATCCCAGTTTTGTATTATTTATATTTTATCGTATTTTATTCTACATGATCCGTCCTCACAGCTATTGTGCGAACATCGGCACTTCTTGCATGCGATTCGTTTCTTCGCATCCACCATGCACGAGTCTTCGAACTGCGTATAGTTTCAGCTGATGCTGAGAATCGTCGTATTCTTTACGGATATCGTTGAACGCTGGTCGAGTCGATGCTCCCTCGAGTGCTGTGATAACCGGGCTAGAGCGTTTCTACTTAAGTTGCAGAGAGTGAATTGTTTCCAGACAAGTTTGGGACCAATTTCAAGATACCGGCATGTAAGAGGCTTCATGAGCCCAAACCGACCTGCACCAGGTTTGTGATGAACGGTATCACTGTTACTGCACCACCTATCCAACGCTGTATGATCAAAAGCTATCTAGATTTTTCAGTAACAATAAACACAATGCTTTACCTCTCCTCTATGTCTTCCAGTGAGTATGGACGGCTGAATTTTATGCTACCATAGGCCGCTCGTAAATCGTGCACCTTAAACTTGAAAAAGAACTTAAAAAAATGTTGACAAGCAAATCGAATTCTGGTATATTCGTCAAACGAAGCGAAATGGCAATTAATACTTAGACAATTCCGAACATTTTTCTTCATTTTCATTTCACCAGCACACACTATATTCGTTTCATAGCCCTCATCCTCCTGGTCATTACCACCGTGTATGCTTTTGGGCATAACGAGCACATCGTTCCATCAACATAACCCGTTCCCAGATTGCTACACGTGGATCACGAACCGATTCGTTCACCGTGTTTGCAGTCTTCTTAAAGATTCTCGCATTCTGTTGAATTGCACATCGATGCTCTTTTGGTTTATTTGCACTCTTCATCTCCTCTATTGTGTTAAAAGGAAATCATTGTAGCAATTACGAAATTTCTTCCCTCATTTTAAACGGTTCCTGCACACTGTATCGATGTGCTTAGCAAATTGGTACAGAATCTCCTTCCAGAAATAATAGCAGTGTGAGCTAATTAAGAGTGGCAGAAATGGTGGACAAACTGGATAAGTCTGACCATCGTCCTCGAGTGCTCGTTCGAATAATCGCAGGATTTAATTCCATAACAGGAATTGTTATTATTCTGAAATAATGCGAGTAGTAAGGCAGGAAATTTCCCTCGAATCCACGAAGCTCATCGACGACGCAGAAACATTGTGGTTCGGCTATTTTCTAGTTGTGTTCGACCAGCATTCAAAATGTTAATGGAAGGAGATTACAGGCCACTAAGTTGCAATGGACCCACAAACGAGACCAAACACCTTCACAAGTAATGATCATAGGAAATTGAAACGAATTGATGTGTTGAGACCCGCTTGACATAACCATCTAAGGATCTAAGTAAGAATATGAAGTGCTGTGGGTACGGCTGAATTATGACAATATTATTTTAAAGACCGACTTTCCATTAACCTCGGCATAATAGATCAACATCTGCCCAAATTGTTGAGCTTACACGAGGCTATCCGGAAAAAATAAGTCGTTATCACTGTATCATCACTGCTATCAAAATCCATCGTTCTGTGCAGACTCGGATCACCGGCTCTGATGAAAGCGAAGACGTCGAAGCGGTAGCCGAATAAAAGTTGTGTAACAACGTCATGTAAGCTCAACAATTTAAACAAATATGAAGACATTAATGAAGGAATTATTCAGCAGTCAAATCCCACGTGAGTTACTGCAGTAACTAGCGCCACATCATCGGCAGCTGTCCATCGTCTTAGTTCAGCAGAAGTCATACCATCAGCAGCTTCGGTAGCAGCCGCTAACTCCTAAGCAGAAAGTAATCAATGAAATAGTTAACTATAAGAGTCTACCAACTTTCTATCATCAAATGGAAATAAAGCACTGACCGGGGTTAAATTCGTACCTTGCACCTAATATCCTTATTTGCAATCCTCGCTTCTCGTCTTCGTTTCTCCTGCTTCGTTGTTTCTTCGTCCTCTTCCATAGCTAGACGATCTTCTACACTTTGGGTGGGTCTTCGTCGCAGCGAATGAACATGTTTCGCATGAGGAGCAGAAAGGCTTGAAGGCTGAACCAGAAGAATGGCAATGAAAAACTAAGTTTCAGACAGTTGTGACTACATTTCTTTTACAGATGTGTTGTAAATGAGAAACAAAACCTATGATTCGCTAACACAAACCTTCGCAGACTCTTCTTTTCCAGTTGGTTGAGGTTGCAAGAAAACGTTCTTCTCTTCACTCCTGGCTTCCTGCAAGGCAGAACTTGACAAGGGCTCCATGGTAGACGACCAACTACGACATTTCGAAGCAAGATTCTCAGATGTATTCATTGATGGAGAGTGCATTGCACGCTCGCCACTAACTCGTTTCTGAAACCCGTGGATTACTGCACTTATTCCGAAAAGGGGGTTAGGTTACACATTACGAACACAAGCTAAAAGCAGTGGATTAGCGAAAATAATGTTAGCCTAGGAGCGCGTGTAGCGGAGTGGTTACAGGCGCTCATCTTGCCCCCTACGTTCTGGGAGAATAGCAACATTGACTCGAAACATCGTTACGCCACGGCAAGTATAGGCCAGATATTCATTTATCAACGCCGAAAGCTTTATGCTTTATCTTTTAACATGAGCCTATACTTTAGACGTCGGTAAAATGTAAACATTTTAAACCTAATCTATTAGATGATCCATAAGCTTTATTACTTACTGAAATAACACTGATCTAAGGATCTAAATAGCGACAAGTAAAATCCTTCCACCTCAATTTAGCAATATGTGGTATCGGGATTCTAAACGTCGAAACGCGTCCTAAGGCTGGGAGGTCAATCCTTTGATAGAGTCATCGAAACAAAGACGTTATGACGCCGTTGTTAGATGCAAGGATATTTTAGATTCCTCCACATAGAAAGAACCTAATGGTAGCGAAGCAAGCTTCTCTTAATTCACAACGTTCCGTAATTACCTCTAGTGAAGATATCAGAATGTTCTAACACGACTATTTTATAATTACACTGAAAAAACTCCTTCAGGAAGATCTTATCACGTAAATGGCTTTCTCATACACCTATTTGTGATCTACCACGTTAATCTATACATGATTCTATCACTTCACCTGGTCATGCCTTATCTTTAATGTGTCTGAAAGTAAAACCACTACCATGGAATTATCCTCTCCATTAACCCGCCAACCTGTGTACTTGAGCGCGAATGAGAGTTGTCCTGTTATGAGTTTGAGAAAATGACTTGCAACGAAGAGACATGTAAATTTACCGGATATGTCAAAGACAGAACAAGAAACGACTGTGCAAATTAATAGAAGAAACTATGGAAAAGGAGACCGAAATCAGAACGGAAACCATTTTGCTGGACTCCTGTCCACAACAGGCTTCTTTGGAAATTCAGTTTTCCGAGACAAAAAACTGTCACTAGATACGAAAACAGCGAAACATGCCGAATTCCTTGAAACAAAACATGGTTCAGCCTTGACATCACAGTGCAATTTTTCTGCAGTGTATTCGACCGTCACCTTCATGTGAAGACTCTCTTCAACCAGAAATTAGAAAAAGAACTTTTCTTAATACCTAAGAAAAAAAAACACAATTCATGTAAAATGAGAACGTTTTGGAAAGAATCCTCTTCCTACACGACTGACAAATCGAGGATGGTCGAAAGGTATTTGAACATTAAGAGACTTCAAAACTGCGCTTCCGTTTTTCAACCTATAAGTATATTTTTACCCCCATCAAGAAGTTGATCAAAAGCATTGTGCTGAACATAAATCCGACCATTACAAAGCCTTCTTCGTTAGTAACAAATGCGATGTGAAAATTCTAGCAGGAAGGATTTTTATTTTCCAAAATTTTTACCAGATATGAGAAACGCTACTCTAGATTCCTCCCTCTAATATCGAGTTACGACCAAAATCATGAACAGATGAACCGCTCCGAGACCAAAAGACATCAGAGTCGACTATTTCTGTATTTGATTGGAATAACTGGTAAACGACTCAAGAAATGTCTGCTTTTAACGTCTAACTTCAAATATCCAAGATGATTAAATAGTTTTTCCCTGAAACAGTTGTCGAAAGATTCAAAAGTGTTGGTTAGGGATGGGATCTAAAAAGAAGACACCTCTTTCTTTTTATTAAATTCATGCAGTACCCAGTTAGTTAGTTTCTATTGACGTATCACGAAAATCTTCCTACAGCTATACTAAAATCTTCAGAAACCTCTCGGAGTCAGATGTCACATATGGATGTGCTTCAATTATAATCCTCATGTTGTTATCATTGGTGAGAGTGATAATTCTTGGCATTACTGAACAATGATCAACGGTATAATTTCCATCAATTTTATCGATTTTTGTGTGAATACATCCATGGCTTTATTGAAAATTTTGGAAATTATATAAAATACTCGAACAATGAAGCCTGTACGCCAACATGGAATTTCAAGAGCCGTAGGACCATCAGCTCACGTCTGAAGCGCCAAAGTTTTGTACAATGGCGATGAAAGAAGATCTTAAGGAGGGGAAAAGTAGCAGTAATGGCTGAAGCTCCAGAGGCTAGAAACAATACTCACAACATCCACCAAAACTTTACCAACTACAAGATCGAGACGGTCGCCCTCCAACGTTCAAATGGAAGTTTCAAGAAAGGTAATGGAGAAAATAGTTCACGGTTACTACCCAGATCTCTTCAATATCTACGTCCTCCTGTCTTAATACGAAATAAAGAAAGATGAACATGTCGTCCCATTGTTCTCCTTCCGTAAATTCGACATTTTTTTTTCGTCGGTGAAGAACTGAACAACACAATATCCTAAATCTTTCAATGACGGGGAATAATAGCAGAGGCGGATAGAACAGTGGTAGTAATGTCCGTCACCACGAGCATAGCGCTAGTTCGCGAACTTTCTGGGGAAAAAACTCACTCTCTGCAATCCAACTGGGAACGCTCTAGCCCAGCTATGTCAGGACTTCACGAAGAATTGCTTGACCATTCCACGATGTTCAAGATGAGATGGAAATCCTCAAGCAGTAGCGGAAGCCACACGTAAAAGTTGGAAGATCTTCGTGGACACTGGATGCGAAAAAATGACTCAGTGCTGAGATCCGCACAGTAGACGTGAAGACGAATCAAATGATTCAATAAAATAAAATAATAAAACAACCTAGCAGGATGAGATATGAACACATGAAGAACCTTTCACCTGTCCTCATAAACACTGGTTCGGCTCAATCCACATTACCTGTCAGAATGCAAGGTTCCTACTCAGTGGAAGACCAGCAAGACTTTGTTATTGTCCAGTAAGAGTGACCTCCACGATATCGGTAACAATCACTCAATTTCCTTCCTGTCTATAGTCTGCAAACTCTTAACTAGAGGGTTGATTGGTCATCCTTAATAGGACTGATAGGACATTAGATAAACGACAGTTATTTGAGCATGTAAGGTTTCGTAAAGGATTCAGCACAATAGATCACATCCACACTATAACAAGAATCATTGAAGTATGGTGAGAATGCATGAGACCTCTCTGTACTACTTCATATATAAATTTCAATACCGTATATCACCATTCTATAATTATATTAACATCAATATAAGAAAAGGTGTTCGATAAGGCGAACAATCTGGTCAAAATAACTTACAACTAACCTAGCGTGAAAACTGGAATGCGATAATACGAGAGGGGAAGTCGATGGCCTGCAATTACACCATCTTTGTTTTGCTGAAGGCAGCTTTCTTATACCAAGCATTAGCTATGCAGAACGAATGCTGGTTGAGTTCGACAACGCTTGTGGAATATCTGGTCTTGGTCTTCCAATAAATATCAGAAAACGAAATCCACGACAATTTGTTTCTGATGCCCCATTTGTGCTCAAAGGAATAAACATCGATGAAGAATATGACCACTGTTACAGCTACGTGTGTCCTGGTCGAGGAGTTGAAAAGATGAACGTCTAAGCTCCGAAGCTCTCAACAGAAGGAACCAGGTGATTTAACGATCAACACCTTGATTTTTCCTACGTTAACTTACACGTCAAAAACATGGTCGTAAGCGGAATGAAGCACCACTTAACGCTATCGAGCGTGCAGACGAGAAGACGATGTTGGAAGAATCCCGCATCACAGAAGTAAGAGGGGACCTGAATTCCCGACTTACGTCAACGGTCAAAGACCAGAAATGCCGCTATGCATTTCAAAATGTCGAAAATTAAGTGGGCTAGATAAGGCATGCGTATTTACAACCGACAGACAAGAAACGTTGGCGACTGAATTTCACAGGATATCAAAAACACAGCAGGAAAACTAACGAGATGGTCTTCAGAGGTCTTTAAAAAATCTACAATAAATACATGATGCTCAACAAGTCGATAGAACGAGCAGAACTCACTGGGATATTCTTGCCCGCGACAAGAACAGATATAAACATTGCATGCACTCGTTTATCACTCTGCGATCAAGAATAGAAAGGATGACAGGTGATATAATGCTCAAATTTGGTGTTGGCAATTCTAATTCTAAAGGCTAAATTTAGCCCAAATTAACATAAAAAGGTACATCTATACTTTCTTTCAAACTGGCACGTGGTGTAGAGATGAAAGCAAAAAACTTTATTTTGAACGAAACGTCAATATTTGGAAAGGCTTCATAGAGGTATCACAACGAACGGCATGTATTCAGTACACTTTGTTTTCGATTTTCTTTTGCCATACACAGTTTTTCTTTTCCTTATACTTTTTCTACTCAACAAATAACCTCTACAGCACAAAGATACCCGGCCATGGTAAAGAAAGGCTATTTTTGCTCTTTAGAACTTCCAAGTTTCTTCTTATGAGTTTGCATTTCTGCTTACTCCTTGGTGATCCCCTAGATTTCATGTATCTTGTCTGAAGACAGTTAAGACTTATCTGCATGAGAGAGTACCACAAATAAGATATAAGGATATCTCTTCTATACAAATGCAAATAATGGACTTCCACATTGATTTCTTACCTGTTGTATCCTCTGAGTAACAAGAAAACTATTGCGAATTAGAGTACCCGATGTCCAATTTCTTTCTTTTTTGGAGTACAAATGATGGCAAGCGTTGATATCGTTGTTTGCAACGCCTAATGTTCGTTGGTGAAGAAATTAGGGGTAGCCAAAATTAAGCACTATCATGATTGTGTTAATTTCCGAACGACTAGGAGAATAGATGTGAGGAGTAAAATCGGAGATGATGGACAACGATGCCCATGGTTGAAAACCCAATACCGACCACAGAACTCCAGGAAATCTCTGATGGAATATGAACTGCCTATCTTCACCTCCAGAATCAAAAAACTAGCGCAGTAAAACCGTGTAAAAAAAATCAATCTCATATACGCATGTCATGCTATCAATTAATGAATCCTTTATAGTTCCCAGAATCGACTTTCTATTAACCTCGGCATTGGAATATGAATGCGAATGAATCCTTTATATAAAAACACTCTAATTGCCTGATCTCGTAATTGTACTACAAGAGTACAGCTCCTATAGCCTACCTTTGCCATTCTCATACAAACCTTACTACAAGGCGGCACCGTCGTTTGGCAAGCTGTCCGTTACAACACCGTAGAGAACAAGCCCATTCAATAAACTGGGAGGAAAAAGTTATACGCAGCGATGAAAAATTCCTAATAGCACCTTTATTTCGTTGATGAGATGGTCATCTTGGTGAGAAATACCAGTGAATTACGGACGACTTCCAAACAGATCAAGAGCAGTGAAAATGGTAAGATCCAAAATTAGCCATGATTTACGAAGCAAATGATTATCTTTCGATTATAAAGAGAATATCCTGTGTGGATGAGCCATGGCAAGGCCTTTCAGAGAAGTCATCGTGCAACCTACGAATACAGAAGTGAGCGTTTTTCTGGTCTTAGCGGTGTTGCTAGCACTCTGCAATGCATATAAGATGAAGGTACGATTACCTACACAGTGGTCAAGAAATTTTTTCTTAAATACAACCATCATTTACGATACCATGACGAAGCGTCGGAGAAATATTTTCTGTAGCCTCCAACATAGCATATACAAGAATCTATTAATAGATTGGCTATTGTACATCAAAGAAAAGAGTTAACAAATGGAAGTGAACGATCTAGTGGACCACAAGAGGATGCAAGCGCTCTCTAGAAGTACTATCCACAAAACGCGAAGACGCGTTTATATCGTATGTAACAATATTTGCAGCTTAAATTTATGAAAACAAAGAAAACTACTCGGAAACATCAACACCAGCGAAACCGACTGTCGCCATGATGACGACTATGAAGTAACGGAACGAATTTAGAATCTGTTTGGCTGAAGTGATTCTTAAAGAAGGGCGAAGATAAGTACTCTTCTATTGAAGAACTAAGTGCTACTACTTCAAATGAAGGTGTAGCAAAGACTAATGAAGCAATAAGTAACTCTTCGTATTTTTGTTGAGCAAACGTGAGGTGTTATTGTTCTTTATTCACGAATAAGCTGACGTTTCGGCAGATTTCGCCTTCCTCAGAGCCGCTTTCTATGAGGTTTCCACTAAGTATGTCACGTAGAGACCAACCGCACAGAAATCACATGGAAGTATAATGTCATTATGCCATCCCATGTCATTATAATGCCGAAACGTCAGCTTATTCGTGAATAAAGAACAATAACACCTCGCGTTTGCTCAACAAAAATACGAAGAATTACTTGTTCAATGCCGAGGTTAATAGAAAGTCGGTCGTGGGAGTTACTGCAATAAGTAACAATTGAATAAAGGTCTTACTTTGGCATTGGGGTTGCAATTCAAACAAATAGCAGTAGGGTTCTGATATAGAACGTAATTATTGGTTCATTATGAAGTTCCTTCACCACCTATTACTAGTGACCTCGTTAAAGCATATAAGCAAATAAATCGCTAGCAATATGTTATACGACGTCAGTTTCACCTTCGAAAAACCGAGAAAGCTAAAACTACAAGTTTGAAAAAATAGCCAAAATTTACCAAAATACCTCATATACTCACCCTAGGAGATAATAACTTCGATACCCCACTATCCACCAACTCGTCGTCGAATTTCGGTCGTTTGATATCCCGCGTGGACCGCCTTCTCCGTTTCTCTAACCCGTCATCTTGATCACTGAAGTATTTGATACCAAAGTTAGGGAATTTGATACTAACCTAGGAAATAAACTTAATGCATGCCTCACTGAAGAAGTTGCTTCAGAATGTGTCCTTCCACGGAAAGCCTCCGAAGCAGGGGAGACTTGGGATTCCATACACTTATCTCTGGATGACGCTTGTTTTTCCGATGGTATCACAACGGTTGGCTCTTGGTCAACATCCATTGCGGATGGAACCTCGGTTGGCTCTGATGCCATAACTTCGTTGACATTGCTAGGAGCCGGTTCAGCATGCGATGAGGTTTCCGCACTGTTAAGGCCAGTCTCGTTTATATCGCTCATAATATCTGAAAACGAATACAGAAATGATTAGGAGACACCCAGTTCGGTACGACAGATTTCGAACAATGACGTCAAGCTGCAAGAATCTATGATGTTTAAAAAGCAAAAAGAACCGGTACGTGGAGAAGTGGATAACAAAAAGTGAATTCATTCTGTCAAATTGGAGCTGTAAGCTTAGGGAGACGAAAACAGATTGAGGCACCGTAAACCATTCACTGTCCAAGCATAAATGTTGAGTGAAGTTAAAAGATTTTATATATATAAAAACCTGTTAGCTCAATTACGAAACAGGAAAACACCACAGAATATATGCTGACACTCATTCCAAAGCAAAAAACGATGCAGAACATTAGTTCCATTTTCAGACCATGTTCTACTGGGCTACAATGAATATGTGCTCTTAGAAATCTAGAGAGGATTGGTAGATGAGTGAGGAAAGACTAAATCTATGAAGTCAATAGAATCTCACGAGGAAGAAAAAGAAGCTTTTGGTCAAACTGTGCATTTTTTAAAATTTTATTTGATCCGTCTTCACGTCTACTATGCGGATCCTGGCACTTCTCACGTTCGATTCGCTTCCTCGCATTCGTTGTCCACGAAGATCTTCCAACTTCTACGTGTGGCTTCGGTTGCTACTTGAGGATTTTCATCTCATCTTGCATGTCGTAGAATGCTGGTTGAGCAATTCTCCCTGGAGTCCTGAGATAGCAGGGCTGGAGCGTTCCCAATTGGATTGCAGAGTGATTTTTTCCAGACAAACCCGGTACCAATTCCCCGACCACAGAGGGATAAGAGACTTGATTGGCCAAGAGCGGAATCTAACTAGCACCATTTTTGTGATGACGGATATCACTACCACTTTGCCATTCGCCCCTCGACTGCGCATTTCTACAGTAAAGAACGGGTACATACTCTGTAGCCTCAATAGAAGGATTACAACTATGCAGTGTAACAATTCACCTATTTCATCCCACAGAACCTGGACAATAGGGAGAGAAGCAAAGCAAAGCAACCAGCGGTGACAACGGGTCGATTGGAACACTATAGTATCGACAAGATAGAGAAATAATGAAGACTTTAAGGAAGTGTTTAGGACAAACAGCATCGTCGGTTGCGTTGAGTTTAGAACATCGGTGTAACTATAACTTAGTGGACGTAAGATCTAGGGAGGGTGACGTGCCTCACGAACCGACGGAATGACGAACCTGTAGAGATGCTTTTCACATAGTGTTCGACTTCATCAATTGCCAATATGAGCTCAAAACCGGAAAACGAGATAGCTCAGAACCGCAACGCCCGATTTACCTCACCCGCTCCGAGGGTGAAGTAATCAACGGGAATATTTAGCTGTATTCTTGGGCTTTCATAAGGTTCTTACATGACCTTTACTCAACCGACGTTTCAACGTCCTTGTAACGGTTGGTGGTTCAGTGGTGGAATGCTCGCCTGCCACGCGGACGACCCGGGTTCGATTTCCGGCCAATGCACCAATATAACGGCTCACAGCTCAAGGATGTGAGGCGCGTTCGCGAGTGCGCAAGAACCATAAACCGCTTGTGAAGTACCTCAAACTTGGGTAATTAAACCTTTATTAGTATATATATGTTACTTACGCAACAACGCAAGACAATACACGATGTCTGCCCAACAACTGCGAATGAGGTGATCCAGTGGGTTTGTTACCTAATAAAACGCATTAACAATAGTACACACACCAATGTAACGACTCACAGCTCAAGAATGTGAGGGGCGTTCGCGAGAGCGCGCAAGAACTATGAACCGTTTGTGAGGTACCTGTGGAGCAATAAACGTATTTAACTTATGTTAACACGGATAACATAATTACACGAAAAACAACGATAACACTAATATGTCAGCGATTTAAGGGCTAAGGATTACATATACTATCATTATGACCTAAGCAAATTAATCTGCAAGGTAAAATCAAACGGGGTGGAATTAATGATGGAGCTGGCGAGGACGGTCCCCACGGCGTCATTGGGTCAAATGGCGGGACTACTGGGTGTGTCCCATGGCCAGAACGGGATATGGACGCAGAGGACGCGCGCGGCGTTGCAGCCACGCGATCCCCATCGATCCGTGGGCTGTATTAGTTATGCAGATAGAGAATTCTCTATCTGATTGAGGAATTCTCTATAGTCCTCGTGTTCTCCAGAGTCGCGACGAGAACAGTAAAGTAGGGAGAGAATGTAGCAAAGAAGCTGTATAACAACCATGAACAAGCTCATAAATAGGACAAAGTATTGACTTACGTCGAGGTCTGCTGAGAACCGGTTTTCGAAGGGACCAATCCAACAAATATTCGGGACAATATTGGCTCTTCGATGATTGCTGGTAAGTTCTCGATGGCCAAAGCGCATGCGGACCTGAGTACAGACTAACAGAATGGATTCTGGTCAATCGTCCTAGGACCATACATGGTTCTTCCAATTTTTTTCGTTCCACATTTGTTTTGCTCGGGTTTTCACAGCAAGCATAGCAGCCGTAGACAACAATATCAGGATCACTATGCACTGCTGGACAGAATTTCACTTGTTCAGCTGCTTTGCTGCTCGAATACGATCCTCCAAAAATAGAAAGGGGAAAAATGAACGTTCTGACGACTGGACTACCACTCCCTGGCAAACTTGGATTTATAAGGTTTCGTCTCAACCAATAAGGCGGACTGCAAGAGAGATCTGTTTACAGTTGAAAAGAGAAATCTACATTAATGGTATGTCAGTTAGACCATAGAGAATGATATGAACAGGGTAGAAATTCGTCAATACCACTCCCTCAGTTGTTTTGAAATTCTACTCATTTTTCATGGAGCCACACTCCAGATGTGGCACGTTCTAGGACCTTTTTAACAATATACGTAGTCATTTGTCAGGGCTTCCCTTCTTCACGGCTACTACTAATTATATTCATCGAGAACCTCGGAAAGTAGTAATCATAAAGTTAAAAACGAGACGAAAAGTAAAGTGAGGGTACGAGACACTTTAGTATGCCACATGTATTTGGTACTCAGTATAAAGTAAGTTTTATTTCTCTACTAGTCGCTAGGTTAACACTGCATGAACATAAGATGAAGTGTAGACTGATAAAACAGAACCAAAAGAGGTTTCATACAGTGAGTACAAATGCGCTCAATTTCGAGGAATCTGCTACGATTTAAAAACGATACTAACTATCGTAAATTAGCGCGTTGCAGGACCAGCCATTCTCAAGCTGTCTAGGTATCTCTTCCCGGAATCCACTTCTGTCTGTGCGGAGGACTCGGTTCGGTCAGCACCTGCAGGGAGATGTTGTCGAGGAGGGTTATTTCCGCCTTAGCCAAGGTGAGACTTTGCTTTTTTCCATACTGGAGTGGTCAACTGCTGGTGGCCACGATTCGCTTTCGCTTCACTCTACTAGTATCCCCAGAATCTTCCTTTGTCTTGTTTTCGCCGTTGTTCACCTCGTAGTGGTAGCGTCTTTAAGGGTGTAAAACTAGTGCCGTTCAGTGTGCGGCATAATGGAGCTGAATTGTTTTGAAATCAGTCGATTGATTTTGTAATTAACAAGTGCCGATATGTAAAGTGGGACGTTGAGAATCTATATTGTAACGGTTCCACTGAGACATTCCCGAAAGAATCCAAAGACATGATTTCCATAGAAGGTATCGCAAAATGCTGGTATTGCTACGTCCGCTAGGAGCATGGCCGTTGGAGGATCAGAAGTCTCGAAGATCCTTGAGGAGCGCATCCTTGGTCAGGATGCTAGCATAAAACTCGAGGAAACTGGAAAGGTGCGTTTTTGCTACTTAGTGGACTACTCTTTTGCTTGGCACCGTTCGTTTTTTCTTGCTTGCTTGATTATTGGAGTGGTGCATTGGTTGGGATTTTTCTACAGGTACTGTCTATTGGAGACGGTATTGCTCGTGTTTATGGCTTGAAAAACATCCAAGCTGAGGAAATGGTTGAGTTCGATTCGGGAATTAAGGTAGGGTAAACATATGTTTCCAAGGCTACTTATGAGTTTTTTCTCAGTATTTTGTCTATGATTTCTTTTCACTGGTTTCATTTTCTTCTTCATCTTTCAGGGAATGGCTCTAAACTTGGAGCCTGATAATGTGGGAGTTGTAGTATTCGGTAACGACAAAGTCATTCGGGAAGGAGACATTGTAAAGCGTACAGGTGCAATTGTGGATGTACCAGTTGGAGAAGCACTCCTCGGACGTGTTGTTGATGCACTGGGAACTCCCATTGACGGTAAAGGTCCAATCAACTGTAAGAGTCGCTCTCGTGTAGAGGTCAAGGCCCCCGGCATCATTCCTCGTCTCTCTGTTCGAGAGCCTATGCTTACTGGTGTGAAGGCTGTCGATTCGCTTGTACCCATCGGTCGTGGGCAGCGTGAACTGATCATTGGTGATCGTCAAACCGGGTAGGCTTATGCTCTTTCGAAAACAAAGATGTGCGGGAACCGTCCTAGAGATCTTTTTTCAGGAAAACGGCCATTGCCATCGATACTATCATCAACCAGGCGCGTTTTAACGCTGGCACTGACGAGAAAAAGAAGCTGTACTGCATTTATGTTGCCATTGGACAGAAGAGATCAACTGTGGCTCAAATTGTAAAACGTCTTACTGACACTGGAGCAATGAAGTACACCATCGTCGTGTCAGCTACTGCATCTGATGCAGCTCCACTTCAATTCTTGGCACCCTATTCAGGATGTGCTATGGGAGAGTTCTTCCGCGATAATGGCAAGCATGCTCTCATTATCTATGACGATTTGTCAAAGCAAGCTGTTGCATATCGTCAAATGTCGCTGTTGCTTCGTCGCCCTCCTGGTCGTGAAGCCTATCCTGGCGATGTTTTCTACCTTCACTCTCGTCTACTTGAACGTGCTGCTAAGATGAATGAGTCGCTTGGTGGCGGATCATTGACTGCTTTGCCAGTTATAGAGACCCAAGCCGGTGACGTATCTGCTTATATCCCCACAAACGTGATTTCTATTACTGACGGACAAATTTTCCTTGAGACTGAGCTGTTCTACAAAGGAGTGCGACCAGCCATCAACGTTGGTCTTTCCGTCTCGCGTGTTGGATCTGCTGCTCAGACAAAAGCCATGAAACAAGTCGCAGGCTCTATGAAACTCGAACTTGCTCAATATCGTGAGGTGAGACTGTTCTCCTTACCTGTAGTGGAAAACGCAGTTTAGAACTTCTAAGGATGACCTACTATTTGCTTCTGTGTTGGTCGTTAAGTTTTTATACTTAGGATTATATTACAGAAAAACTTTATGAAATATTTATCTCAATTCTTTTCGCTGGTTTCTGAACATTGTTTGTGTCCACACAACGAAGATTGAAACCACCCAAACCAGTGAGCGTGAGCATATAAGACTAGAATTTTCCTACAATTAGTGTTAGCTTAAGATTAATTCTCATACTCCTTCAATACATTCGTGCTCATGAATAATACTGGAGCGCACTAGTGGGAGGAAACCGAGTTTGACAATTTTCGAGTGGTTTTCCTCTCACTCGATGCCTCACAACACTTCAGATTTTCCTTTTTCTTCTTTAGAAAATATTGTCAGCTCTACATTTTAACTCTATGGATTTTATGGACACACTCGTATATTATTTCGGTGTTCCTTTCAATATTTGTCAGTGTTCCACTTTAGGTTGCAGCGTTTGCACAGTTCGGTTCCGATCTAGATGCCGCTACACAGCAGTTGTTAAATAGAGGAGTTCGTCTTACTGAATTGCTCAAGCAAGGTCAATATGTGCCAATGGCTATTGAGGAGCAGGTAACATTCGCTGTATCCGTGGTTGTTCTAGTAGGTGTAATGTTTTTATTGGAGTAGTTTTCCAGGTTGCCGTTATATATGCCGGTGTTAAAGGACATCTTGACAAGGTAGACCCATCTGTAATCACAAGATTCGAAAAGGAATTCCTAGCTCATATTCGTGCAACGCAGCAAGATCTGTTGAAGACGATCCATAACGAGGGACAAATCACACCTGCCACAGATGCCAAGCTGAAGGAAGTGGTCACGAATTTCCTTGCCACATTTAAGGCTTAGGCGATGTTTTTTTCTTGTAGAGTTGAGTTCTTGTTATAGAGTACGAGATAAAGTAATTATTAATACTGCCTATGTTACCATTTGTATGGTGTTGTTTTTAGGTAGGAAGAGCGTTGTTCATTTCTTTCGTTCGTCAAGTTTATGAAGCTTTAGGGAATTAAAAGTTCAAAGTTGTCTTAGACGATAACATGTAAATTTATGCTGAAATGGTTCCCTACCAGAAGTTCATCTTTATGATAGGAGAATTGCTATGCGATTATCTAATTTGGATTCATGTACGTTTCTAAACAATCCTTCATTATGTTACACAATAGTAAAAGGAAGAATTGGAGGTACCTAGTGGTTTACAGTCACAGGCGTTCCTTAATAACGACCCAATTGGAAGGAATAGAGGCGAGGAACGTGGAGGATGAGTACTATTTCGAGAACTATGGTAGGATAACATGTAGGGTAGACTAGTAGAAAATATTAGTGATGCTACGTAGTGCTTACAACTGAACATTATGTTGTTGATAGCCAACCCATCCATATTTTCGCCAAGTACGGAGATTGTTTTCGGAGTATTGAAGTCGGTGGTGGTGTAGACGGTCATTTTCACTTCTAAGTTCACTTCCTTAGTCCGGTATTCGTGAACGTTCTGCATGTCCTTTTGTATTTCACCACTACATAGAGTAATAGGAGGGCTGTAATGAGTGTCCAAGCGGTGGCAGCCGCAGTGAAAAATGCTACAAGCTTAGCACTTGTGCAGAAGGCGGGAGCGTCGTACATCGTTGGGGTAGCGGCGTGATAGATGCCGGAACTCGACTCCTAAATGAGCACAGTCATGGAAGTTCGAAAATAGTCTTGATGATGCGGAACTCATCATGCGAGTGTACTATAGGGATGTGCAATAATTCGTGGCAGCTAGTGGTACGTTGGGGACTGTTGGGATGTTCATCATCTTAGATCTCGTTTATTATTTTTGCAAATTCATGACGGAGCCCAATTTTTTTTGTAGTGGCCTGTGGGGCATGTATAACCCATGCCATCCAACATGTGCCAACCTCGTCAATTTGGCTTATAGATGACTCAAATTGTGAGTGTAGTGATGTACCTATTTATCGGTGTTTGAAATACAGTTAAAATTAATTGGTGGGAGTTTGCCTGGTCAGATGCCGTTTCTTCCAAGTCGAGGACGGTGATCTTCTGAGCTGATACATCCATGGTGTTGCGCAGATGAATCCAAGAAGATGGAGTGCTGTTGTGGACTTCGGCAATCGAACGTACTAGACGGAAATGCTTAGTGCTCGGTCCACACCTGGGAGGCTGAAATACACGTTAAGGCAAATTTTTGATACCAAGGGCATGAAAAGGCTTGAAATTTCTGTTGAATAAAATCAAATTGTAAATGAGATAGCGTAGTTTAATAGTTGGCTGCTGAAGGAAACCATAATACTGGTATGGGAACATTTAAAGGCAAACATTTCATGTTGTATCATTTGTGTTATGGGAGCGGGAAGCACATTGGTAGTGACCCTGTTCATTACGCGGATGAGCCAACCCACCAGATGCTGACTCAACCCATCCCCGAACCCATCAAGGCTGTCATCCCTTGTTGCTCAGGAGTTTAGTACCATACTTGTCAGGGGCCAGCTCATTCTCTCTATTTAACGTGGGAAGCCCTGGCACAGCTGTCCCACGGTTCCAAGAAAAATCGACTTGACTAGCTGATAGATTGCAGACTGAAACGGTTGTTTTGCCTAGAAATCAGCTGCTTGTTCGGATAAACCTCCTTATCCGTTCATCTCACATCAAGATATCAAAATTTTTGGTCTTTCTCGATCAAATGCATGTGTAGTGTAGCTGTGTAGTGATAGCTCCATTATAGGTCTGTTTACACTCCTATCTCAAGTGGCTTGCATGTTTCGCTGTAACCATGCTTCTTCAAACAGATTCACTACGAAGAATGAAATAGAAATAACAGGTGATGAGATACTGGCTTGCATTCGTTCTATGTACTGATGCCATTTACATAAGAGAATAAAAAAGGATAAAGCTGTCGGCGTTGATCAATCCCTGAAGGATGCGCCATGAATTCGACTTCACTGAGCATCGTTAGAGGTGATGTAATGCATATCTGGCCTTTACAATCACTCGCGGTGGCCTGCCGATGTTTCGAGCCAGTGCTGCTATCATCCTAAACAAGTCTGCTACCAATTTGCTAATCCCGGATGGATGGAAGGCTTGCTGAGCCATGGGCACGGTGATCGATTCCCCGTGTATTGCAGTGCGCCTCTAACCACTGCTCTACACGCGCCCCTATTATCATTCCGTAGCATACGTATTTATTGATAATCTGAATGTTCTTGTGAAGGGAGATAAGTGTCTGTATGAGATGTCGGACGAAGAATGCAGATTAGTGCAGTCAGCACTCAACTAGTAGTAATGCTCTATGAAAGAAGTAAGGCGATCTTGGTGTACTGGCCGATATGCTCGTCAGTGGAACGAACTAGCTGTAGTCCTTGCAAGTATTCATTTCGAACTTGTTCGAATTTTATACCTATCATATAGTGACATAGAAAACTTACCAGTAAGAGCAGATGGCTTATACTAACACCGTAATTCTCAAGAACGTGAAACTTATGCGTGAAACGTACGACACTTAAATGACGGCTGGCGTAGCCGTCGATGCTTTCATATGAATCAGCACTAACAAAAGATGAAGCTCTTGGAGTTGGTTAATCCCTGAGGGATGTGCCATGCCTTCGACTTCGTCAAGCATTGTTGGAGGTGAATGAATGCAAATCTGGCCTTCACAATGACTTGCAATGGTTTACCAATGTTTCAAGTCAGTGTTGCTATCTTCCTAGACAAGTTTGATACCAATGTAAATCAAAGACATTTCTAAAAAGGTGTGATATTCTTACCGTTTTTCCTTCACACATACCGCTGACGATCATGCACGTGCTCACGGCGCATTGAAAATAGGTAGAGATCTATAAAGCCGGACTAAGGATGGAAATAATTTATCGTATTCTTGATGAACTTACACGAATTTCTTAATACTTTTATTTCACAATGATTGGCATTTTACCTCAGTCATTTTTCATCGACGATGGGAAACGTCGTACTAATGTGGAGTTATTTTTTAACTCTAGACATCCATGAAAATCCCATGGGAAGTTCTTCATCTGAGATACTCGTACTCTGAGATACTCTCATAGGCTCATGGTAATACTTCACCGAGTAGATTGCGTGTCAACATGGTTTCTTGAAGGCTTAAAAGAAAACGAAATGCTTTGAAACATTGGTACGTTCTCGGCGGTCCAGGTTTCTCGAATACTAGTAATTTTTGGATCACCAAATTTGAGGCCTATGGGAAGCCGATGGTTTCATTGATTAGACTTTTATCTATCTCTCTACGGATATTTCCTCCTAAAATCTTTCCAGAGCATTAACCCTATTTCGAATTTGTTTGTGATTCAAGTTCTCGAAAAATGTAATTTTTTAGGATTTTTAACACACGCGGGAACTTCGAACAATGAGGCATTCGCGAAAATCATCTCGTATTTCCAGGTAAGATCGTTCTTATCTTCTCCTTCAATCACCTCACCTCCATCGCCTTAATCATTTTCTTAGAAAAAGTGATTTATGGGCTCTAGAACATGGGTATTTTATCTATTTTATCGCAACAGAACGACAAGCCATGCACCTTAAGATGCTAAAATTCTAGCCGTTTTCATTGGAGTTAATGAAGCTCATTCTAATTTAGGCAATGCTTGTCTAAAGTTTAAAGATTGCACTTTTTGGGCATCTACGAGTCAGTTATGACTCATATTGTCGACTGAGCGTCGTTATTGAGTTAGAAATGACGCTATAATCACAACGTTGCTGAGATATTTGCAAAACTCTGGACCGCAGGTGTCTATGGTGGGAAACGAACGCGCTATTGTCCTTTCCGGGGAGTAACGCGTTCACCACTACATCATGCGGGTCCTTCGTTTCGCCTGTCTCTCAGCTATTTCTATCGATCTTTTTACCACAGCAATCACCCGTCAGCGGGGTTGATCTGGGGAGCGCAAATCGGCATAGAACCCAGTTAAGCTATGGCTGTAGTTGAAATTACAATGTTTAACATTTTGTTTTCTGCCTTCTATAATTTTCATGGCAGGTTACTAAGCGAAATACAACCACAACGTTGCTGAGATATTTGCAAAACTCTGGACCGCAGGTGTCTATGGTGGGTCCGGAGTTTTGCAAATATCTCAGCAACGTTGTGGTTGTATTTCGCTTAGTAACCTGCCATGAAAATTATAGAAGGCAGAAAACAAAACGTTAAACATTGTGACACTATAATGTTTTCATTGTATTGGTATAGTATTGCCATCTGATAGAAAGATGCTTGAAATGCTTATCTTGTCGGCGAAGCTGAACACATTCACTTGCGAATATGCCAAATTGTTCTCTTTGTTGTACTTCAGATCCGGCACGATAATTGGATCGATGGCACATCTTAAATGATTTATTTGATGTTTCTTAAATAATCCCGCGTGATATTGAACTTGTACTTTCAGTGTGCACATAAGAGTAGCTAAGTTGCTTAGTAATAGTTGGAGGGTTCCTAGAAGCTTCACAAACTTGATAATTTAGTGAAGTTGGCAACAGTTCGTTGTGCTCAAAAATCCAAGCTAACTGAAGAGCAAAAATAACCGCAACAAGCACATAAACCTTGGGGTGCCAAAGATAAAAGGACGAGGTTTCCATGAGACCTACCCATGCTCGTCAATGAAAGCTCTGCGGTCCTGTCCATTGCTGTCGTCAACAAAGCAACTATGAACTAACATAGAGAACATATCTACAATAACTTAAATTAATAATATTATTATCGCTGTGATTAATATTTTGCACACATCGTTATATAGGAGATCTCAGGCAGTCTTGCCACTCGCGAGGTTATGTGGCACTTCTGCTTATAACGGATATGGCGGAGGTATCGGGCGGCAGTAAATCCTCCATTTCTCGCTGCCGCTTGAAAACGTTGTCCAGCGGGTTTTGCTTGCTCTAGGGACTTGTTGAACGTCATATCTTCCTTCTAGGGTTTTCGTGAAGAACTCTGACCATCGGACCAGTGGTATTCCTGGTGTGCGTTTGACATCCCGAAAAATCCAGTCGCTAACGGCTCTTGTCTATCGGTTCTCGTTCATACGCATTGCATTTCCGGCCCATTCTATCTTTAACAATTTGACGTAAAGAACAGCGTCTTTGATTTTCAATCGTTGACGTATTTCGTAGCTTCGGATTCCCTCTTTCACTTGCGTGATACGGGATGCTCCTAGTATCGCTCTCCCGGCTGCGCCTTCTTTAACGCTGGCCAGAAAGGCAGAGTGGATTGAGGCGATGGACTGCCTTGGCTGGTGTGTGTGCTGGATTGTTACCAGCACCTCGTTTCGGATTGCTAAAATCCCATTATCAATTGATTGGCAAATACATGAGGGACCATTTTATTCAGACAATTTTCACTTCTACTCAAAGGAATTTTGCCTAAACAAACCCCTTGGGAATTTCTCGTAAAAAAGAGGACCCACAGAGGAAAGGCAGAAAGGTGGAACTTTATTCTCCTAATCTTGAGAGAGCTCATCATTTATACGACGGCCATTGGTTGGAGATACAGTTTGTCGTAGATACAATTCTTCAATTGACCTTTTTCTTTGCGCATGGGAAGAGAGTTTCGAGAGAGTGACAAAACTTTCGCCAAAGGTCTTGAACTGGGTAATGAAGTAGTCCTTTGTTTTGACACCAACATTGTGATCTAATGGAAAATACACCGGCACTTAATGAACTCAGTGGGAAGTTCAGCTGTCGAAGAAGAATACATCGAAATTGGCGGTTTCTTAATCACAGAGACGAGGTTGCACACCGTCCTAAAGGAATCGGTGAATATAGAAGTTGATATGAAAAGAAAATCATGAGGATGAAGTACGGTAGCAAGTGTTTGATGCTTTCTAAGTCATCATTCAATGTGAAAAAACCCTTCAACCATTTCTTTGATTCGACGGTTGTCCCAGCAAATGCGTGAGTTGACAGTTTACATATGGAGAATTCTTTACGATACCAACAGAGCGCTTGAATGATAGGTTCTGAAACATAAGGACCACACACAATAGGACAGCTACAATATTCAGGTCAGATTTTCGAAAATCATTACGTTCTTGAGGTGGAAGAGAATACTAATCGAGTGAGGAACATATATGGGAATTCCTTCCCTTCAGGAATTCCTTCAGAAATGTTCCGCAGAAATCCTTAGCACTCACCTCTTCGTGTTAGTCTTTTCGCTATTGTTCTAATATAGGGCGACCGACCATGTGCGATCTGAAGTAACCTGTAGCCTTTCCGAGTTCATAGGCTGGTGATTTGGCACTATGGGTGATGAGCAATAAACAACCGAATTTTTTGCTCCGGCACCAATGTTCTTCGTGGCAACCAGAATTTCGGTCGCTTTCAACGATTGTTCTAGCGCCCGTTAGGAAGTAGCACCCAATATTTAATTTGCTAAAGGGGTTTTCTACCGCTTAAACCAGGGTTCTCTCCCAGGAGTTCCATGGCAGCGGTTTTAGTAGGCCTATGCTCAGATCGTCACCACATACGTAGTGTTTGGTCGCTCGCAGGGATTCCAAGGATTGGGGAGAGGTATAGTTTCCTCCAGATAGAATCTTTTCTGGGGAACCGTTTAATCATGGTATAATTTTAGTTTTAGCCACATTTTCAGATGGAAACGTCGGACTCCTTTCCAAGTATTGTAGAATGTGACACTTAGAGAGAGCTCTCCGTTTAACAAGATTAGGGAGTAAGCCAGAGAGGACATGCGAGGATGGGAACAGTAAAAAAATCTTTCCTTCCGTAATATATTTCTATGCGTCACGAAATCAATAGCAGAATGTTTATAGGACTCCTAAAATTATTCGCCCATGCACTGAGCGTTTTTAATTTCTTTCTGAAGTCCAATACAGGAAGTATGGAGCAATAAATTTTCCTCAAAAACAGTCGAATTTATTAGGAGTGAAGCATAGCTAACCGACCACTATTGCACTGCCATACGTGGTAGACCTGATCGCCGATCTTCGCGTACTGAACGAGTGGACCGCGGATCGAATCGCGATGTACCGTATAGCTGCACATTGGCATTCGAGCGGTGTCGATCACGTCGGTGGTAGGCAGAACGCTGTGAATATTGGAAACCAGATCGATACTGATTTCCTTCATGGTGAACAAAAATGATGAAACAACACTGAATTAGAAAAAAATAAATTCGGAAAAGAAAATTTCAAAGAAAAGGATTCAAAAAAAGAAATTCAAAAAAAAATTCAGAATAAATATGTGAAGATTTTATTTCTGGTGTGCTCGCAACCAGATGCCATCACTTCAACGGAATTTCTAGCCAGAATATATCGGCTAAAACACGTTTAACCGCTACTTTTTCACTTGCGCATATATTAAATTGGAATGGAAGCGCGGTGATGCTGAGATATTTGCAAAACTGGGAACCCTAGGTCAGCTTCGAGTCCGAGATTACCCTTTCAAGGGGCTACCCAGTACATCACTGAGATCATTGCTTTGCGTTTCTCTGAGCTAGTTTTTTTACCCTAAAGGTGGTATCAGCAAACATCCACCAATAGGATTTTAAGGTGAAAAAATCTTCTTGATCTGGCTTAAATTTCACTGCAGACAATGCTGTATCTTGAGGATTCTATTAACCTTGCGCTAAATAGGTCTTCATCTTTGCTTCTCGGATAACGGCACACCTTTCCTAGAGTTTGGATTTGTCTTGACTGGAAACTGATCTTCCTTCAACACATTTTTTCCTTAGTTTTCAGTTCTTTTTTCAACAAAAAGAATAAGATGCTTTACACCAGAACTGCAGCAGCTTGGAGTCAGAGAACTACTGGAGTTTCGATTTTAAACAGTAGAAATTCGAAAGTTGCTTGCAGCGAATATAATTTTCAAAACGCGTGTAGCGCTGAAAACACGCCACGGAGTCCTACGCAGAACTTGCATCTGTTTTCAAGTTAAGTGTCTATGACTCTTCATGGGCAGTAGCACCCATGTATTGTCTGCTGACATCGTCCACGACGGTGTCCAGTTGTAGGTGTTCAGATAGACACGCCTTTCGCGTGTCAGTAATTTACGGTGCAGTTTAGTGTGCTACCACCATAAGTATTGCATGGGGAGTTCATGGACATTTGGATTACGTCAAACTGGGTTTATGGCTTTCCTTTCCTTAGAATCCAGAACATATATCGTCCATCGGTGTGCCGAACTATCCAGCTACCCGTACTGGTTAACATTTTTGTCAGCAGATGTATCAACATGCAATATCAGAAAAACACATATAAGTTGGGTCGCACCCATCAGTTGGTGTGGATTGGACCATCACCTTCTTATTCGAATGCAGATAGGCTTTGCTTGATTCTAAAATGGCGAAAGCTAACTATCGCCATTTCGAATTCAGTCGTTTACGGACAGTTTTCCAACTGGCAACGCAGTTTACCATTGCGGACGGAAGAATCCTAGCCTCAACTATCACGAGTTTCATGGTCCGGATCACCTGCAGCAAATGGTGAAAACTAGGAAAGCATGGTGAGCTGGTACAGTGCGTCTTGATGCTATATGTGGGTGATGTGGCGAACGGCTAGTTGAACCCTATCTCTGTCACAGCTCAGACACTCGTAGTCGAGGACTACTCTTATTCAATGCCTGTCCACCATGAATTTACTGTTAATCGAATAAACAAAATTTTGGCATAGCAAAAGTCATTTCTAATGGCGACCATTCAGGTTCTTTGATAAGAATTCTTTGTTAGCACAAGTTATTAAAGCGTTTTCTAAACCAAAGTAACGCTTTACGTCTTAACCATGTAGTATTTGAATAATTTCCACCATCTAAACTCGTTAACTACCTAACGTCAAATCTGCTGGAAACAACTTCGTCGGCTTCCATGTAGAAACACGTGCATCGGTACGCCTTGTCAACCTTGGTGATGAATGTCGAATGGAATGAGATAATCACCGTTATCGAGTGTTCCATTCCACGACGCTCAGGTCCCAACTGAAAATCTAGATCGCACTTGCATAGAGGGAATTTCACCAACGAGAACATTTCATTTAGTAGTAAAGAACCTGATTTTGAAATCACGGTTGAAAGGGCTTTTATAGTAAAGCACGACATATCTGAAGCAGGTTTATTCTATTTTTATTTTATATGACCCGTTTTCACGTTTACTGTGCGGATACCAGCACTTCTTACATTCGATTAGTTTCCTCGTATCCATTGTCCACAAAGATCTTCCAACTTTTACGTATTGCTTCCGCTACTGCTTGACGATTTCCATCTCATCTTAAATGTCGTTGAATGATGGTCGAGTCGATTCTTCCTGAAGTCCTGAGATAACTGGGCTAGAGCGTTCCCATTTGGATTGCAGAGAGTGATTTTTTCTCGGACAATTCCGGTACCAATTTCCCGATCCCGAAGGGATGAGAGGCTTGGTTAGTCCGGAGCGGAATCCAACTAGCACCATGCTCGTGATGCCATGCTGAAACAGTGATGCCGATATTTGTCATTTGCATATACGTTCTTACGAACTGCCCTTTTTTAGCCGATGCGAGGTTAGTATGGATGTTCTTACTGTTGTTGTTGTTTTTGTTGACGTTTCGGTGACTTCGCCTTCCTCAGAGCCTTGCTGTTGGACTACCCGTGTATTGTTCACGAGGAATGATCATTTGGTTATCATTTGGTTGAAAAAAAGCATAAACAAGCACTCTAGAGAAGAGACCTGTGCTCTTAGCATAATCGAGAAAAAAATGGACTTGTGGAGGGACGTTTTCTTGGTGGTGTCAGCTAGCGTGGAGAGGCCTAGTCTATGCAGATTGTACTTTATTTCATGGAGTTCACAGTAACACACTTTTTTACTATTGATACTGTCTTTCGCACTGCATCCCTCCAAAACTAAGTTTGTGACGGGCAGCAAAAAATAAGATCTATATGAAGAGAAGCTTTCTTTAACAATAGTTAGCAATTGTAGTGATAATAACCGCGCAAACTGAAGTGGTTAAAATCATCCAGCGATACTGACACCAATACTCGATACGGTGACGAAGACGCCACATCGAGAAGACGAACAACTGTGGGCTATCGGACGATCGGCTTTGGTGAAGATGAAAACGTTGAAACATTAGCCGAATAAACAACTTTATCAACCTCGTGTTAGCTTAATATCCCAAGAAGACACTGATTATCACTACCGAGTTTAAATGACGGTCGGTTTAAAAAATATTGTTTTATTAACAGTTCATTCATTCATTCGATCCAAAGCCGTGGATCGATTATCCATCCGCGGTAGGCAAGTTGGTGCCAAACTTTTTGCGAGGTAGCAGCACTGATTTAATGCAGCAGTAGGTCACCACAAGGGATGCTATAGGGCAAATATGTTTTCGAACATCTCTACGATACTACGTATGATGTCGAAGGCATAGTGAACCCTGGGATATGGATCGACTTCGAGAGCTTTATCTTTCTATGCTTTCACGATAATAGAAGTAACAACAATGACGATAATAATAATAAATGTCAACGGCAATTCTTTACTGGACTATTTTGGAACGAATTATTTGTCGAGCACATACCATTCTTGTTCGTCGCATGTTACAGTCACCATTATGGAGTTCAAACGTCACCTCTGGTTTGGTATTCGCGACGTATTTGCTCACGCACGAGTCCTAAATGCTGAAGATGTAAAAATATAAGAATGGAAATGGCAAACGCGAAGCGCTTCCTGGAGCTGCTGGACGGTCATCGCGAACGGAATCAACCATCCGGCACCATTCACTCGGAAAAAAGGTGAGAACAAGAAAAAACCATGACCTTTATTCACCTTGTATGACATTCCTTTGACAAAAATGCGCCCTTGAAATGGTCGTTGTGTCTTGAACGTCAGCATGAGTTGATCTTCCAAACATTCCACCTCTGGTAGGCCTGAACGAGAAAACAGTCATTGGAGATTTGGTAAGCTGTGATGAAACTGCTCTCGAACATTTTCGCACGAATCGCAAAGAACTCATAAGTTGACTAACAGTTAGTGAGAAACGATACACTTTTTATGGTATGGCCTCCGTGCCTCTCGCCGGAGTCCTATGTGAGATGGGCACTAGGACTAGTCTCTTAGCAGTAGACATCCCACTTTCGGTAGACAATTGTTCGTTGCAAGGAATCAATACGCTTTGAAAGGAATTCTGACCGATGTCTGTTCTCAAAGTTCAAATTCGCAGAAGTGCATGTTGAGTTTACAGTTGTTTGTTTTGTACAGATTGTTTTCGTGCATGAAACTGTTTCTTAATGTACTGCTGTCTCTTCAAAGGGAAAGGGTATACTTACAGCAAGTACTCGCGGGATAAAATATTCCAAGCGTTTTTTTTAAACCACACACTACTAAGTCACATATTAATTGAAGAACATATCATCCTTTCATCCTAAAGAAGAATCATCCTAAATATCGAACAATGGTTGAAACCAGTTACTAACGTCTTATGGAATTCAGATAAGAATTTAATCTAAACTACCACTAGGATTTTTCGTTAAATGACCGTTGGTTTGAAAAATCATTTTGAAGTAAGGTGCTAGGTCACATGTGATACTGAGGCATTCGTCGTTCCGGTTCAAGTCTAAAAATGGGTAAGCCTCTAACTTTGAAAAAATATGTCTGCGTCTGCGTTATTTTTTCATTCTAAATGAAGATAAGGTGAATCTACCTTGTTGCTGCCGACACGCTATGAAGTTCTTATTCTATTACGATGGAAGCGTACACATTTCCAGTTCGGCATTGTTCTTCACTTCGGATTTTGTTATTTGAGGTCGTCATGAGGTCTCCGTCCGTGAATTGACAGACATCAAGCAGGTGTCAAGGAACTAGATGAAGTGTCCGAATGCCTTGTCGATGTAGGCAACTTTGTTTCAAATTTCATTTAAATAGTATTTTGTCCTATTTCCTCGGTAGCTCACCAGCTTAACGTTTCTCGGAGGTCTTCAGGGTTCTTCAACTGCGATGCTCATTTTCTCCAGTAGCGTTTCCCAAACCCAGGAAGAATTTCACATTTTCATTCGGAAGTTCGGTTGAAAAGCAACTAATGGTAATAAACATTGCAATCCTAGTGGCCATAAGGTGGTTAATCTCCCTCTCACACACAAACACTCGCGTCTTCCCGTGGTGACGATTTGCGATATTTAAAGTACGTCTGTCTCGAGACTCTAAGGAAGCGAAAATCTAGTCCCACTACCAAATTGCCGTGTAGTTGCAAACTGTATTGGAGTCCATATGATTCTTCTTGAAGGCAGGCCATTCAAATATTCAAGTACGTAATAATTCAATGTCACATCGCCTTTGAGTGTCCGGTGGCATTGCAACCTTATTCCTCATTATCTCTTTTTTATGTTTTATTTAAGACTAGCTACTGCCTATCAAGTGCCTGACAGCGCTATATCCAAGCAATACCTTTCAAGAATTTTGGGTTACCAACTGCGGGATGGTTGATGCGGTTTCGTTCTCGTGAAACTTTACGTTGTCAATGTTGGTAACGCTGCTTCGTTGTGCATCCAGGTGTTGCTCACCTTGTTCACTTCCTTGAAATTCTATGCTTCTGCGTTGCCATTCTACGCCTGTCACCTTGTTGTCACAGAGGAAAAAGATGCCATGATCTATCTACTGCTCATTAACACTTCCTGCTTATGATATGGAACTTCACACATTCTATGAAGATCTTGAGGAAGTCATTAGAAGTCTCCATACAAATTTATTTTGGCCCATTGTTATGTTCTCTTGATATATTTGGCAACTGAGATGTAGTAGATTGGTACCTAACAAGGCGAATGTAAGAGACCAGCGTGTCGTTCTAATGATTGTTGAAAATTTGCATTCATCCATTCCAAATTCGGTATAAAATGTTAATCAAATTACTTTTCAAGTGCAGTAACAGCCATCATCAACAATGTATTTTCGCAGACAGCATCGTGTCCTGTTGAGTGAGATCCCTCTTGCTTAGTTGTTTCACTACTCGAAATATGAGCTTCAAAGTGAAAAAACCATGTCTCGGTTCCCAGCACTTTTTCGCGGTAGAATAAGATGCTATAAGTATGCTAATTAACCATACGTCTTGCTGGGAATGGATTTTGTCTCAGTAGAAATCAAAATGAGCCGAGCGCGTGTAGCGTCGTGGCTAGAGGTGCGCTACAATACACACGTGTCTGTTGATTCGATCCTTCGCCGCAGGCTCACCAAGCCTTTCACCTCTCCGGGTCTGGTAAATTGGTACCAGATTTGTCTGGGAGGATAGCAGCACTGACTCGACACATCGGTAAGCCGCTGCAAACTATTGCTTGAGCCAGATATGGACTGAATCACCTCTAACGATTTTCATCATGGCGAATATATGGTGCATCTCTCACGCCGAACACCTTGCCCTTTATCTATTTGAGTGAGCAAGCACTGCTCAACCGATGCGCTGAACTTCCCCAATAATGAATTTCATGGAGTATTTGGATCGCTGTGAAGTGAAACAGTTGCTCTTCGTGCTTCAATGTTGTCTTCGAGTGGAACAGCTGTATTTTAATTGATCTCTTCATTGTTACGATACTAATTTCACATCAGCGTCAGCAAACAAGTCAACTGACAACTTCTTTGTTCACGGCATGAAACGAAGTCGTAAAATTCTCCTGAAACCTAGAAGTGATTGAAATACCAGTGGCATCAGGATAACATGACATGGAAATTCTTTGGAAACTCTTAGGTCATAAAATAAGATTTTCGTTTATGGTAGTTGATTCACTAGTCTTAAAGAACTACGAGAATATTGTTTTTAAGAAAATGCCAAATACAGGAAACGCACTGGTGACGCCGTTATCCAGCTGCGGTGGCGGCGCATCAATCCAAGCTACCACTGTGGCGACGACGGCGCCGAGCAGCACAGGAATCATGCCGACCAGTTACTGTCCTCCTACGCTCAGCTCTCAGCTCACAGTGACCACCCTTGTCACCACGCCCATTTCCAGCAGTGTCGGGGGATTGTACGGCCCGAAAATGTTCGCATAAAGGTTCAGCCTAGAATTAGAACTAGTTCATTGGCGATAAGACTGAACATGCCTATCGAGCAAGTAGTCACTAATAGTGAAGTAACCTTGACATGGAAGATGACATTTTTTAGCAAATCTTATGTGTAATGAACTAAAAGTAAAATTTGGACGTTGCTATTGTGTGAGAAACCTTGGGATATTTTTTATTTCGTCACGTTCTCTGACTACAATGTTTGAGACGTTTATTTTGGTTATAACTACACGAACAATGCTCGATGAGCACTAGAAGTCCACCGATGTTCCGACGTATGATGAGGTAACCGAGGTCAGTAAAGTGCTTTGTAAACATAAATTTCTACCAACTTACCCGCTTCTCTCTATGACGCAAGGTCATATTGAGGCAGGACATTCGGAATAAGTAGCCAGAAAGACCAAAAACATGAAAGGGAAGACTCGACGGACTTATTCGAACTAGGGTTTAAATAAACACAGGGTTTTTTCGCAATGTTTTCGAAATACCGCATGTCTTTCACTTCTTTTCCTCTGCAACACTACGGAAAATCACCTAGGGTAGTGAAGCTATCGTTGCTTTTGTTCTGAGAGATGCTAAGGCAGAACTATAACCTTTGAGCCAGTGAATCGTCAGTGATCGGCTTCTTGTTGAACTTGAAGATCATGGGGAATAGCATAGTATAGAATATAAGTGTCGAGCAAAACAGCAGTTATACAAAGCGCAATAGAACTTCAGAATTCCAGATTATTCTCATAGACTGCTATCTTATCATCCTAATCATTATCAATCAAAGTACATACAATTCGCCGTAACAGAGTTTCCAGAGGCGATAGGATAGAAAAGCTCAATGTCTAAGCCAGAATAAATTTTTTTACAATAGTAGAATTTTTCTCTTATAACTACCTCATAAACCAACTTCGCTCCTCCTAGGTGTAAACTGAAGGTTCACCTCTTGGAAGGTAGTGGATATACAGTTAGAGAAAATTCTCGTCAATCATTTTTCTCAACAGCTTCGTCCGTAATCTGCCTGTATATGCATGTTTTTCTCTAATGCCAACGAAACTGAACCAAAGTAGAAGCGCGGAACCAATCCGGTATGGATATGTGTTATAGCCAACACTCGACAGCGGACCGTTCGGACTGTACGGCCTTTCTCGCGTTTGTGTATCCAACACCTGGAACCAAGGTTGCACTCCTTTTGAATGGTGACACTTAATGAGGTGAAGAAGAACAAGTGCATTGGATATTCCTTATTATTTAAAAGACAGCCACTCAAACGAGAACACGCATAGAAAGTCCGTACTTCCTGACTTCATTCAGTCATCTGGAGTTTTGTCTCTCTAGAAGAGGAGAAAACTCTGCCACGCAATCGTATAATGGAGTAAGCAGGGTCTTAACCCCTATGAAATATAGTAACAATATAAAATAGTAACCAAAAATACATTTTTAATAAATGAAGTACCGTACTTTCGTAAAAGAAACCATAACTATATTAGATATGGCGTTTCAGCAGTGCCGGTCTCACTATGGTTAATTGTTCGTTGAAAACTAAAAATATTTTTATGAGGCCTTAATATGGGAAGGAGTTAAACAAGGACTAGTTCCGATAAATAGGAGGCGGAGAGCACAGCGGTAGTGGTGCCGGTCATCGAGCACGGTGCTGGGTCAATCCCGCTCCGAACTCACCAACCGCCTCATCACTCCAAGGTCGAAAAATTGCTACCAGATGTGGCAGGGGAAAAAGTGCTGTCGGCAATCCAAATTGGAACGCTCTAGCATTTCAGGACTCGAGGGAGAATCGACTCCACCAGCATTGACGACGTTTAAGATTAAAGAGAATCCGAATCCTCAACCATCAGCCGAAGAAACACAAAAAATTGGAACACCTTCGTGGATGATGGATACGAAGAAACGAATCGAATGCAAGAATTTCTGGGATCCACAAGGTGGATGTGAAAGGCTGACTGATCGTATAAAATAAAAAAAATTCTGACAAATGACAAGGAGAGCCTATGATGTTGTTCTTTCCTGTTATGCGTCCAGCACTTGACCCTTTCGTTCTTCTTTTCCGCACCGTTGAAAACAGAGGATAGCTTGAGCTCAGTGGTATCCTGGCAACTTTTTCACGCAAAGCGGCATTCTCTGTTCGTTGATAAGAGACGACCTGTTTTTAATGCCAATCATTTGAATATGGGATGAGCTATCACATTTGTTTTTCGGGAAAAAAGAGTCGATGAGAGTTGATAAATCGTACATTGTATCTTGATCAGCACGGTGTTAAGCATACTAGCAGCGAGTTCATCGCTGGACGTCGATGTTCACGTATTCCTCCCAAGAGCTTCCGTGTTTAGCAAACTCTTCCCCAGAAAACCACAGAGTTAGAACTTATATTCAGTGCATATTATTTTTTCATGGTAGAGCATTATGTACGATACAACCAAAACGATGCTGAAATATGAGCAAAATTCGGGGGCCACAGGAGTGCTTCGGACCAGCAAGTAAACTTACCGCTGGCCCATGCGCTATCCACAGCAATAACCGAGAGCCCTGATTTCCCTTCTCTCAGTCGTTTTTGGGTGATTGCTGCTAACATTGATAGAGTAAAAAACTGTCTGAGAGAAACTCAAAGCAAGGGCCTCGGTTAGTGCCGTGTATAGCACCGATTATTCCGGTAAGGGTAATCACGGGTTCAACGCTCACCTGGAATTCCGAGTATTGCAAACACGCCAGTATCATTTTGGTTGTATTTCTCCTTGAAGAATTTGTGTCATCCACAGACGTCAGGAAAGTGGGTACGAAACATAAGAAAATGACTCAAAAGACCAGCCTTCTTTAAAAATCGGCTTTAAGAATTAATATATGTAATTCTTACGAGCTGCTCATGTTGAGCTGAAGCGAGATTGCTAGCAGTTGTTGTTGTAACCCGATGGCTGATATTTCAACAACTTTGCCTTTTTCAGAGCCTGCATGTATTTTATGTTATGGTAGCCATTTAAATCGGTGAACTACCTGTAGTACTAGTGAAGTTTTAATACACAGATAAACGCCTTTTCACTTAAAAACTACTCACCGTGCTGTTGCGTGTGGTGTGTTGATCAGGTGGAGTGACGAGTGAGATCCACCCAGTTCAGAAAATCGATTTCAAATAAGGTGCAGGTTACGTCTGGTCGCGAGGCATTAGTCTTTCTGGTTCATCTTTGGATTTTGAAAACTTTCCAAACCGCCTCAAGAGTCTTGCGCGTTGATGTTTTCGATTCCCGCGCTAGGATCGGCACAGTTACTTCAAAATCATCACCATTGTGCTTTTATGTCCTATGTGTACCTAGAGGAGTGCTTTGATGAATTTTAACTTTCCCATCTGGATGTCTTTTACGCGGACACGAAGCAGTTTACCCGTTTCTCCAACGTATTCCTTACCGCATGACTTACATGACACCAAGTATATTGAACAGGAAAGACAAATGCCTCCCTATCACACGTGATCTGGCCCCTTATTTCACAATAATTGGATGCTTCACCGAATTTACATAGGCTATTATTACATAAAATACGTCCAGGCTCTGAGGAATCGCCGAAACGTTAGCCATCGACCAACAACACCAACAAAAACGACAACGACGACTTATACCAACCTCGCATCAGCTCCACAAGATCAGTTTATAAGATCGTATAAATAAAGGTGGAGTATTAGTTGGGGAATATCCGGCTATCTATTAGTAATAAATTTGGGGGACTTGTTGTCATTTCTAGTTAGTTTGACAATAACAGAAAAACATTTCCACGATGTTTTCCTCTATCCACCAACCAAAGAAAAGGAGTACAGAAACCAATGCCGAAAGTTAGATATAGAGTGGTACAACACGATAAAAGCAGCGAATTTAGAACCGTTAGTTATTCCTCAACTAAATAACGACCATCCAACTTGTTCTGTCGTATATTTGCCTATTAAGAACCACAAGCTTATTTCTCTTGATGACATTGCGTCTAGCGACCCCTCACCATTTAAGGTTAGACCAATCCTCACTTGTACAGACGGGCCAACAGGCAGAATAGCGTGGTTCCTAAACCTTATCCTGAATCATTTATTGAGATATATACTAGCCCATGCGATTAACACCAAAATATTCCTAGATCATCTACGGTGTGCGCAACCAAACAGCACGCATGTGATGGAGTCATTCGACTTTACTTCATTTTATACTGCCCCGCAATGCAAGCCGTTGTCGAGTTGCTCGTAGAACATGAAAAGAAAATAATGATATACGGCTTGTCGATAGCGCAACTAGTGACTTTCTTGAAACAGTGTCTTAGTTGTTAAGTCTTTAGGTGGTTAGGAAGATATTTCGCGCAAAATAGAGGGTTTGGTCATTGGACGGCGATTAGCACCAAGGCTTGCCATTGCTTTCACATCTGAAGGGAAACCTCCAGTTCTCGATCGCCGACCCTTACCCTACTGTCGACACAGACGACTGCTTTATCGTCTGTTCCACACAAGAACAGATGGATGAGTGCTTTAAATTGTTAAATGAAATGTCAAAAAAAGTAAATTTCACGCGGGGAAAACCAACCGAGAACTGGCTTCCATTCTTAAACATCCAAATGAAGATTTCAGAAAGTGGCTAAATAACAAAGTGGTATCGTTAGCGAAATAGTAAAAATATAATAGTCTACTACCTTTCCTATCATCCTTCACACATAAAAAAGCACTCATCAAGAACATGTGCCAAAGGACTAAAAATGTGTGCTAAGGAAAACGGGAAAGGAAGGAATCGTTAAACTTGGCAAGAAAAGTAGCCGCTTCCAATGGCTACGAAGCAGAAGCCACTCAGCCCAAACCAAAACGGAGGGTTATTCCCCTAAACAACGTTTCAAGCCCAAATTTACCTTTCAAGCTACCCTTCATATCAAATGAAGTAAGTTGCGCCATTAAGAGATGCTTAAGAAAAATTAGTCTTGAAAACGATGTAACGATTATTGACATCCCACCCGATACCCTACGTCGTCAATTAGTCCAGAATCGCCTTTATGATCGTTTGTGCAGCTCAGAAAACTGTACAGTCTGTCCCAACGGGAGAACGGGGATTGCATGAGTTCAGGTATAATATGCTTGATCTCATGTAACGCATGGAGTGAGGAATATATTGGGGAAACGGGTCGACCACTTTGTGTCCCCATAAAAGAACACCTAGATGGGAGAACTAAAATTCGTCAAAACACTTTTCTAGGTGCACATAGGTCAGAAAAGCACAATGGCGATGATTTTGAAGTGACTGTGTGAGTCCTAGCGAAGGAATAAAAAACATCAACGCGCAAAACTCTTGACGCATTTTGGGTAAATTTCATAAATCCAATGATGAAGCGGAAGATAGATCTGGCGCCTTATTTCAAATTGATTCGCTGACCTCGGTGGATCTCAATTATCGTCCCACGTGATCAACACTCAAGTGATGCCAGACGCAACAGCATGTTGAGTAGCTTTTAAACAAAATGGCGCTTATTTATATGTTAGATCTTCACTAACGATATGGATAGTTCACCGAATTATATGGATACCACAATGGCAACTTTTTATTTACTGCCTACTGCAGTTTTTCACGGCAGGATATTACGTGACGCAACCACAATGAAGCCGAGATATTCACGTTAGTCCTCAAAAAAGGTAATAGCGTGTTCGACCTCCACTGCAGACACCTGTACTCTGGAGTGTTGCAAATATCTCAGCATCATTGTGGTTATATGCATATCGTTATATAAAATACGTCAGAGCTCTGAAAAAGGCGAAGACACAGAAATTTCATCCGTCGAATCACAAGTACAACTGCTGCCAATCTCTCTTCAACTTAACAAGGGCAGTTTATAAGAGCTTACTTATTTGGACACTTGGATGGCTCCTCCACAGTGGTTGTGAGGGTCTAAGCATAATATCCATTTTTTACGAGTTTTGCTGGTTTAGCCACTGTGGTTCGCTGGAGCCCCGAGGTCAGCTAGGTCAAAGTCTGCCCCAGGTCGTCACCACTACAGGCAGTGGCCACCCTTGTAGATTAGAGAGAGATTTGTCACCATGCTACTAGTTTGATACCGAAACGGTGGTAGATCCTGGTATTGGTTACTCTAAGCTGGGCTTTCTGATGGAAATACCGGACTGCTTCTCAGCTTAGAAGGCCCCCCAGTGGGATGAATCTCCACATTGTACATCGCACCGCAAACACCTCCTAGCCATGGAGAGGAGGCAAACCATTGATGAGGCTCGTAAGAGCCAGTTAAGAAAATGCTTAGTAAAAATCGTGAATAAACTGCAACAAGTTTCTCTCCTTTATAACGAGGTTTTGTTCTCATTAAATCGGTCCTTATCAACGATCTTTTTGATATGTGAAACGAAAACGGCAAAGAAAGATAAACCGAGAAAATAAAATTTAGTTCCCATAGCCTGAAATTGCACTTGGAGGAGGAGTAATAATCTTAATCATATATCCTCTTTTAAGGGAAACCACTTTTACTACACCTAGAGGAAATTTGTGGTCAACGGGCAATGCATCACTAGGGGCAATAGTTGCGTTAAAAAGACATGGAATGGAAATTGTGCTGGACTTGAACTCCTCGTGAGCACGAGCCATCCAGGTTTCGTGGAAAATTGTACGTATGTATAATTTAGTACGAAGTATAAGACTGTCGACATTGATCATTCCCCGAGGAATACGCCAAGCATTAAACTTTATCATCGTTAGTGGTGGTTGAACGGATATCTTGCCTATACGAACGACTTCCAGTGGCCTACCGATGTATCAGCTCAGCACTGCTACCCTCACAGGAAAGGTAAGTAGCGATTTCCCTAATCTGTGTGTACTGGAGGGCACTTCTAACCAATTCGCCTCACGCGTCCCGTATTATATGTGTACATTACTTACTTGATACTTGAACGGCCCGTCATCACTAGTTGTGCGGGCGCCAGCATAATCACCATTTTTCGGAGATTTGCTGGTTAAGCCATTGTGGTTCCCTGAAATCCTGAGGACAGCATGGCCAAAGTCTGCCCCAGTACATTATATATATATATATATTTATATATATATATATATAACTGATCTTGTTGAACTGATGCGAGAGGTTGGTAGTCGTTGTTGTTGTTCGTCGATGGCTAACGTTTCGTCGACCTCGCCTTCCTCAGAGCCGTGGTGTTACAAATGGATTACGAGTATATATATATATATATATGCATGTATGTGTACATGTACGAATATATACATAATGTCAGCGATTAACTACTTAGAGGAAAAATATAACTTCCATCTTTAATTTTGCATGGTCGTACATTACACTACTCGTTCTGTCGATTCGAATCCGTCACTCACGGAGGTCTTGGAATTTGCGTATAGGTTCAACTGCTGCTTAACGACTTCAGACCACATTGTGGATGTCTCTGGATGTTGGTCCAGTTGATTCCCCTTGTAATCCTAGAACGGCACCCCTGTCGTTGCAGGATCCGAACCACGTGGAAAAAATTCCATAGGTACAATTATAAATAAATTCCATAGGTATAATTATAAATAAATTCCATAGGTACAATTATAAATAAGTCGAAGAAGCATATAATTTATGATAAAACGCTTGCAACAACCTTACGTCCAAATGAAACCGTCTAAATACTACTTCGAAACTGAGAAGATCTAGATACATATAGGCAAATCGCATATCGCAATTTGTGTAAAGTCCCCACCGAGGATGCTTTCATCATTCATGATTACTTTCATTTTATTTTTTATGTATGATATCACGAAATTGAGAATTTTTATTGCAAAACGACTAGAGAATACCATGGTAAAGCTGACAGCGCGGGAAATCAATGAAGCCACATTACCGACATAAGTACAAAACAGTGACATCAATACAACAAAACCAATTAGAAAGCCAATGAACACATAGTCAAATGTACAAAAATTCGAAACTAGCAATAGCCAGTGTCATGATACCTAACAGAGGCAGAAACAATGAATGCGTGGGGAAGATGGACGAGAGCGGACTACTCTTTCAAAAAGTAGTTTCGAAAAAGTTGGACTTACGGCGTTATGAATTCTAAAAGATCATTTCCATATTACGGAGATTTACAAAACAGCACACTTGCTTTTCTCAGCCCACGGATTTACTTTCTTATCGATCGGATTCACCAGCGGGTCTTCTTGCGTTTCGGTGTAACGGCGAAGTCTAAATTACCAGTACTGCCATTTACAGCTATCTACCAACCAGAGAGTCGCTTCAAAAAATATACAGTGTGTATTACAAGGTTCTTCTCTAATAAACAGGTCGTAGTAAAATAAGCACTAATCGTACTCATAGGGTTCTCAACGGTCAACAAATGTAGTCCTTATTTGAGTTATCTTCCCCTGCACAGTAAAATTTGGTCCATTAATTGTCTACTGACTGGCGATAAACTATTTAGCCGAAAAGAAGATTATAGTAGAAAGCGAAGGATAGATAAAACTAGTAGACAAGCGTCCTTTTCACAATACGGTTCATCATTAACGATCATGACAACCTCTAAACACTGCGGAATCAACTTTCACAACTAGTTGTATCTCAAAGCTCTATCACGGTTTCCTTTACAATTATTACTTAAGCCCATGATATCATGGGTCAAGCTGGTGTTATATACACACATTACCTTCGTGCACAAATAATGACCGCTTTTGAAGTTATGGAATCTGCAAACAGATTCCGCAATAATAATGAGGTGACCATGTCAGACCTCTGTCTTCTTCGCGCCCGACGATTTTTCACTGAACTTATTTTATTTTTTAATATTTTGCACGACCCGTCATCACATGTGTCACCTGTATCACCTGTAGTCCCGCTTATCGCCCAGTGACTCGAGCGGGCGCCAGTAAATCTTCCATTTTTCCTTGCCGCGTGCAAGAGTAGCCCAGTGGGTTCTGCTCGCTCTAGGGAGTCGTCGAGCATCATACCTTTCTTTTAGGCTCTTTGTGAAGAACTTTGACCATCGGGTCGATGATCTTCCTGCAGTATGTTTGACATCCCGAGGAATCCAGTCTTTAACGGCTCTTGTCTATCGGTTTTCTTTCGTATGCATTACGCATCCGGCCCACCTTATCTTCGACTGTTTGGTGTACAGAACGGCACCATTGATTTTTGATCGATGACGCAGGTCGGAGCTTCGGATCCCATCCCTTACTTGTGTGAAACGGGATACTCCTAGCATCGTCCTTTCGACTGCGCGTTCGATAACCCTCAGTGATCTTTCATCGTGCTTTCGCAGAGACCAGGTTTATGACGCATATGTTAGGGCAGGAAGTACCGTTGAGTTGAAAAGGTGGGCACAGAGTCGGGTGTTCTTTGTTTTCTTCACTACATTCTCGATGTTCTTGAAAGCTCTCCAAGCCGTTCGCTTCCTTCTGCTCAGCTCTGGAGCTAAGTCGTTCATCATGTTGATTTCTCGAACTAGATAGACATAACTGGAGCATGCGGAGATATTCGTTCCGTTGAGAGTGAATGGAGCTTACGAAACCAATCCGTACCACATTATCATCGTTTTTGTGAGATTTAGTCGAAGATCAATCTTTCCACAGGCTTCATCAAAGTCGGCAAGCATACGTTCCACTTGGCTAATGTTTAATGTTATAAGGACGATGTCATTAGCAAAGCGAAGATGGTGTAACTGCCGATTTTCACTCCCATATTACCCCATTCCAATGCTCGCATGACGTTCCGAAGGGTGGCGGTAACAAATTTTGGCAAGTTGGTATCGCCTTGCCTAACTCCTCTTTTGATGTCAATGTTAATATCGTTGTAGAATGGTGATATCTGGGTTGTGAAATTTTTGTACGGCTCACGAAGAAACCTTATGTACTGAGTAAGGACTCCTTGACCATCATCATGACAGCTTCTATCTCAATTGAATCAAAGGCCTTCTGTAAGTCGATGAAAGTGAGACAGAGTGGTCTTCAGTACTCTCGCGATACTTCAGTGAGCCTTGTTATCGTGTGGATGTGGTCCATCGTACTAAATCCTTTTCGAAACCCTGCTTGCTCACATGGCTGTCTTGCTGGTCGTCCACTGATTAGGGTCTTGCATTCAGACAGGTAACGTGTAAAGAGCCGAGCCAGCGTCTTTACAAGGACTGGCGGAAGGCTCTTCAGGTGTTCCGGTAGAGTAGATGTCATCACATCTACTGCGCGGATTCTAGCTCTTCTCACATTCGATTCGTTTCCTCGCATCCATTATCCATGAAGGTTTTTCAACTTTTTACGTGTTGTTTCGGCTGCTGTTTGAAGATTTAGTCTTCTTTTCAGGAATGTCGTAGAATGCTGGTTGAGTCAATTCTCTCTGCAATCTTGAAGATAGGCGAGCTAAAGCGTTCCCACGTGCATTGGAGGGAGAGCGTTTGTGCGGAGACTTAATTAGCGCCTTTGCTTCCTAGTTGACGAAATCACTAACCACTGCGGTATCTCCACTCCAAATTGTTCAAGAATCTTCCTGAAAATTAGTTCACTATGCCACTAACGATGCCAATCGAAATTTCATCGAAGGATCAACAATGGAAGCGCTTCTAGGCACAGCGCATAGTCCGTTTGACGACTATCTGAAGCCAATAGTCAAATCCGCCATTCAAAAAACCGTTTAAAGGGTTGCATACAAACTCAGAATTCACAATTCAACAACTGTCCTTCATTTGAAAGACACTGGAAGAGTGGAAACGCCCGACGAATAGGTGTTGCATCAACTGGGCGAGTGACAAAGGGTTAATCGTCACGAAACCTGTTCTTTGCTTCTTTTATGTTATATATAGCAGTTGTTTCTTGATCGAATATGACGTGCAATAAAAAAGGGATTCTATATGATAAGATATGGTGTTAACTAGAAAGACAGAATAAGAAGTCGCTAACATTTTTCAAGGTCGAATTTCCATCAGAAAAAATGGTTCTGATGACTTTTTTGTTTCGATGGATGAAATCACCTAATAAAACGTCTTATATTATGGTGAAACGACCACTTTAGAAAAGCAATGTCATGAAATAGATGAAATGTATTAAACCGCAGCAGATGTATCCAAACATGGCTAACAGAAGAAGTTGTTTTCACGACATCGACCACATGTCGCACAACTTACTTGATACTTGAACTTGAACGGCCCGTCCTCACTAGTGCGGGCGCCAGCATAATCACCACTTTTCGGAGATTTGCTGGTTAAGACATTGTGTTTCCCCGGAATCCCGAGGTCAGCCTGGTCAAAGTCCGCCTCAGGTTGCCACCACCGCAGGATGTCGCCGCCTTTGTGGAGAGAGAGATTTGCCACCATGCGACTAGTTTGATACCAGAATGATGGTGGATCCTGGTATTGGTTTATTCTTCGCTAAACTTCCTGATGGAAACGCCGGACTCCTTCTCACCGACACCCAAGAACCACCTCCCAGCCACGATGAGGCAGTAAACCGTTGGGAGGGTCGCACAACTAATACCGCATAAGTTGGTAGGATTGGGCTACGAAATGCTGCCCTACCCACTGTATTCATCACACCTCCAGCTAATCAAATACCACTGATTTCAAACAACTCAACGACTATTAGCTGAGAAAATCTTTGCTTCCAGATATTTAGGATTTTACGTTGCCGAACTACATAAACTTACATCCTCATGGAAAAGCCTGTGGTTTCTAAAAATCTCTTACTCTGATTAATAAAGATGCGCTTGAGTTTGGTTATAGTACTTAAAACTTGTCTTTCAAAATGGCCACTATTTTCGCATCAGCCTGATACCCTTGAAGCAATATGTAAAACATAATCGAACCATTGTCTTTCATTCTGCAACAAGTTTGTTACAAATTAAGCGAGCCAATAAAATGAATCGGCTAAACTTGGGTGTGAGTACGAAGCTTTGGACATGTTCAAATCTCATCGGCACTTACTTGTCTTTACTTGTTCGTGATAAGAACGAAACAACAGAAGCTTCAAAAGATGTCCTTGATGTTGGAGTAGTGAAACGAACACCACATATTAATGAAGAAAGCTGAACGACTCACTCGGTAGCACTTTGACTGATCGGCGACCGTTCAATATTCAGCTGACTGCGAAGCGATTCGACACTACGCTGCATGTCGGATTTATCCATAAGTGAAAGCTGAGCTGAACGTATTGTTCTTCCAAATTACATAGGAAATCTAACGAGAACGACGAATCCACTCGAAGATAAGACCATATTCAAGAAATATCAATGGAAACATACAAATTAGGGGTCAGCATAGCCTCAAATCCGTTTGCTTGAAAAAATGCCAAGTTCAATGAACGGACCATTTGAATCAAGTCAGAAACAAACAACGGACATTATGGCTAGAATTGGAGCGAATTGAATAACGTATAATGGCAAGTAGCGCTAGAAAATGACAAGTATTCCAGGAATTTAAGAGTTTAACTTAATCTGGCTTAATCTACAACCCTATGTCCCCGATGCTTAGAGAAAGTTGCAGAGCTCTGCGCATTCTCAGTTTCATAATCTTAAGTGACCTTCCTAAATTTCCATTTTTTATGGGTACGAAGGAAAAGTGCACATCTTAATGACTATTGAGAGAGGCTCTGCTTCCATTTAACTCCAACACAATTTTAACCACAAAGTGCAGATCTGATATACGTTACAGAAAAATCCTCGTACTTCATTTAATGGATGTATTCTGAACCAAAGCTCGTATAGAATGTGTTAGAAACAAACTGGAAGCGACGAATCTGAACAGTCACCAGGAACAGTTGCTCTGCTGGGACGAAGAAATTCGTCCGAAGGGCAATTTCTTGCAGACTGTAAAGTGCACGGACTCTTTGAGTCCGTTAGTACTCACGTGTGTATAGAAATGAATGCACATTGCCGCGAATATGTTGAACGAAGGGAATTGGGAAAGGGAGGTACCGCGATAATTCTGCGATGTAAAGTGATAATAAAATCCAAAACTGATTCCAAAACGCAGTGATAAGAATTTCATAGACAACAGCCAAAATAGTTTTACATAGAAGTGCATACCAGTGATCGAACACTAACCCAAATGACACTGAGAAAAATTGGGCACTTCCAGAAGACGATCGCAGGACATAATAGCTAAGACGGACTTTAAGCTCAACGGTAGTCCAAATGGGATACAATTTCTAACACTGAGAATCACCTACACATTTACTTTGAGGCATCGAAATAGCGCGCTCGAAGTGGCTGAAACCAAACGAATACCAGACAACGACTGACGTTAAATCTTCCCTTAACTGAAAATTGCTCAACAGAACACGGTGGTTGCAGGAAGTATTTATGAAAAGGGGGACTTAGGACATATCATTAGGACTTAGTTGCGGATTTTGAAGCAAAAACCGAAGCTTTCGTGGCTTTCCAAAGTTTTCCGAACAGATCGCGTTGAAGTAAAGAATAGAAGCTAAATATCTAAAAATGCCTAGTGCTGGAGAGGATCCTTGAAAGGGAAAGAAGCACTAGGGTACCTGGATTAGTGTTGACTCTAGTGCAGCGCCTGCAGCGCGACGTGTCGTCGGCGATGGGAGGCGATCGATTCGCCGCTCGGCTGCTTCCGGGAAGCCCGCCGCCGCGACCGGTCTGGACAGCAGAAGGCCGATCCTGGAGGGGGATCTGCAATAGCCACAGCAGCGCTGTAGCAGTTCTCCAAGCCCGATGGGGAAAGGGAAACGCAGAAAAGAGAAAGAATAACGGCAACAGAAGAAGAATGTTAAGAAGTTGGTTTGCAAATGAAAGAATACGAGCTATGTCCATGTATCGAAAGGACGACTTTCAACAAACTTCGGCATTAGCAAATGATTTGTTTCATTCTCTGGAATGGCTCTGAAGAAGACGAAGTCGCAGAGACGTGAGCCGTCAAATTAAGACAAATGCATCCCAATGGTTTACCGCCCCATCGTGGCTAGGCGTTCCTGGGTGTGGGGCTGCGATGTTCAGCGCGGCGATTCACCTCCCAATAGGGTCTCCGAAGGTGAGAACGAGGACGGCTTTTCTATCAGGAACCATAGCTAAACGTAAACCAATACCACGATCCACCACCGTCCTGGTATGAAACTAGTCGCATGGTGGCAAATTTCCCTCTGATCTACAAACGCTGGCGACTGCCTGTGGTGGAGAGGACCTGGAGAGCAGACTTTGGTCAGGATGACCTCGGGATTTTAAGGAACCACAATGGCTAGACCTGCAAAACTGCGAAAAAACGGAAATTATGCAGGAGCCGTACAACAAGTGAAGAAGGGACATCCAAGTATCCAAGTGTATAAATGACCGAAGGATGATACGTTTACGTGGACATCTTTTCGGAAACAAAGAAAAGACGCACACCATACTAGTCAATTTTTTAAGTTGAGAAAGGCGACATCGGTGGTGGTCACGAAAACGGGTGCTCTGCATTTGCGGACTACGACAGAGAATTCCGGCTTTGCCCTATGCCAGTCCCGATCGCGTGGAAGCCACTTTCGTACCACGACGCCTGACTATATTCTTTCCACATTTGGACTGCATCTGTACATATACATATATATATACATGTACATATATATGTATATATATATATATATAAAGTAGCTGAGGAAAACGCAAAGCAGGGGTCTCCGTGGCGCAGTGTGTAATGCGCGAGCCCCCGGAAAGGGTAATCATGGCTCGATCTGGCAGAGATTCCAAGTTTTGCGCATATGTCAGTATCGTTGTTGTTTTTTTTTTTATATGATCCGTCTTCACGTCTACCGTGCGGATCCCAGCACTTCTTACATTCGATTCGTTTCCTCGCATCAATTGTCCACGAAGATCTTCCAACTTCTACGAGTGGCTTCGGTTGCTACTTGAGGATTTTCATCTCATCTTGCATGTCGTAGAATGCTGGTTGAGCAATTCTCCCTGGAGTCCTGAGATAGCCGGGATGGAGCGTTCCCAATTGGATTGCAGTGTGTTTTTTCCCAGACAAGTCCGGTACCAATTTCCCGACCCAGGAGGGATAAGAGGCTTGGTTGACCCGGAGCCGAATCGAACTAACACCATGTTCGTGATGACGTCCATCGCTACCACTGCTATCCGCCCCGTTGTAATTATATACACGTATATATATGTAATATATATGTATATAAATATATATTCAAATTGGGTAAAATGGATGAAAGGAAGCGAACAAATGTGGAAACACTTGGTGAAATTTTATTCAGCTTTATTTAATTATGCGATTAAATGCAACAGAAACAACGTACTTTTTAGACGGCCAGTAAAATGATGAACTAACTTATATTTAGTTTTAGCAACCTTACCCTCGTAAACGATAAGAAATAACAAGAATCTAAACAATCCCTGAGTCAGGAAAGCACTGAACTCGGGTCAGGTGACTCGTTTGTTTCTTAGCAACAGCGTTTCTGAACAATGAAGAGATAAGTATCAGCTTAGTAGCCAGGATCTTCAATGTCCCGCGTGGGACCTATTTGTGGCGCTTCGCATCGTCGCTATCCATTTCCTTCGCCGTCAACTTCTCAGACGTGTTTTTCAATCGGAGCTCTATCGAGCGGACTGTCACCACCTTCGTCCCATCGTTCGTCACAGATTCCGGTATCATCTTCTCTTTGTTCATCTGCAGCGACAATCCACTATTTTCAACAAAACCGTTCTACCTACTCTACTGAGCAATTTCTATAAAATAAAATAAATATGTAACCACGCATCTCCCTCAGAGGGATCTTATGCCACTAAGTCACGAGGCAGCGTGGCGCGTCCCCTGGTGGCGGATAGGGGGTCAATCGCAGACCTAAAGCGACCTTTACTTCCCTAAAACGCAGTGAGGTCTGGAAGATGGACTTCCTGTCTCTGCTGCGCCGATTTGGTACATACCTTCTGCTTTTACAAGGACGTATCCATGCATGTGTATCTCATTTATGCGGATTGTATCCCACGAGTCAATTCGCCAAAGGCCTGCAATCAAGTGTCTAAGTGTGTGGGAGGCGGTTAGGGGACCGCCTCCAACACATAAGCTACTCGTCTACACTAGGAGAGACCAGCAAGCTACTCGTGAGTATACCCAGTCCTTACGCTCAGAGTTCAGCAAGCTGTATGTGAGTATCAAACGCCAGACATAGTAGAATAAGTGGGCCTCATCCTCCTGATCCCGAAAGAGTCCGCGATACGTCAGCTGTGGACTAGTACGAGTACAAAGAGGCTACTAAAATCTCAAGGCCAGTCTAAGCTGCCTAAATCGCAAAGAACTGAGGTGACGATCTGTACTTACAATACGCGCACACATGCGTCTGAGTTCTCAGTAGAATTCTTGATCATGCAGGCGAGAAGGATAAGCTGCGAAATGGTTTACCACCACCCTCAAGAACGTCATGCGAACATCGAAATGGGACAATATGAGAGTGCAAATATACGGTCGCCAATTACAGCATCTACAGTTTGTTGATGAAATCGTTCTTATAACAAAACATTAGCCGAACTGAGCGAATCCTTGTCGACTTTGATAAAGCCTGTGGAAAGATTGGTTTTGGACTAAACCCCATAAAAACGATATTCACGAGGAACGGATTAGTTTCGTATGCTCTATTCGCGATCAACAGAAGGAATATCTGCGAGCGCTCTAGCTACACTTATCTAGGCCAGGAAATCAACATGATGAACTACTTAGCTCCAGAGATGAGCAGGAGGAAGCGAGCGATTTGGGGAGCTTTCGAGAGCATCGGGGATATAGTGAAGGGAACAAAGAACACCCGAATCTGTGCCCATCTCTCCATCATGCTTCTTGCCTTGACATACGCTATAGAAAATCACTAAGCGTTATTGAATGCGCAGTCGAAAGGACGATGTCAACAGTATCTCGTATCACGCAAACGAAGGAAGGGATCCGAAACTCCAATTCACGTCAACGATCAAAAAGCAAAAACGTCTTTCTATACGCCAAACTGTTGAGAATAAGGTGGGCCGTACACGTAATGCGTATGAACGACAACCGATGGACAACAGCCGTTAGTGACTACATTGGTCGGGATGTTAAACGTGCTGCTCGAAGATCACTGATCCAATAGTTCGAGTTCTTTACGAAAAACCTGCAAGCAAGGCCTGATGTCAAACAGGCCTTTAAAGCGAGCAGAACTCAATAAGATACTCTTGAAGGCGACAGGGAGCAATTGAAGATTTACTGGCGCCAGCTTGAGTCACTCAGCTATCAACAGGACGACATATGATACAGGTGAATAGAAATAAGTCCTTGGTTGTAACCAAACCTCTAAAAATATTCATGGCTTACATAGTAATTTGTTGCGTAGTGAATGTGGATGCGATTTATAAAATGTATCAAGTTGACAAAATTGTATTTCCCAAAGTCACTATTCTATTGCCTTAGGAGACAACTCAAAATATAAAGGATAAAAAAAGGATGAAGCCTTTGGCGTTGATCAACCCTTAGGGATGCGCCATGCATTCAGCTTCATTAAGCATCGTTTGGAGGTGATTGAGTGCATATCTGGCAACGACTCGCAGTGGCCTACCGATGTATCTGCCAGTGCTGCTATCCTCCTAGACAAGTCTGGTAGCAATCTGCCGACCCCGAGGGATGGAAGACTTGGTTGGCCATGAGCGCGGAGATCGAGTTGCAGGGTGCCTCCGACCACTACGCCACACACGCCCCAAAATACTGCAAGTGCAAAAGATAGAATATTCGGATAAATGTGTTCTCGTTCATTATTATACCACATCAAGATGGTCCTTCTTTAGGCACTGAATATCGGTCTATAAATATCGGTACTAAACCTGTATGATTCCTGTCTTGGTGGAAGTCGTTTTTGCCGATTTCTGATTTTCCGTCTTTGTCGGCTTGATGACGACTTCCGGTATGGCGGTGGCTTTGGGCATCTGCCCATCCACGTTGTCGATTCTCTCGACGGATCTGGCGACCGGTGGGGAATGAGTGATCTTTGTCTCAACAGCGACGATCTCTTCGTATGAGCCTCCACCCTGCCCCGTTATAACATCGGCGGATTCCAGACTTCTCTGAGTAACATTTACTGCACTTTTCACAGGTATTCCCGTACGATCAGCTGAGCTCTGAAACTGAAGATATTTCTCATTATAGTTCTTGTATTCTGTGAATTTTCAATACGATAAACGCCACATATTCAAATTTCATACCTTCCCTCTTAATGTTTGAGGCTTCTGACTAGCATTATATCCGAGTCTAATCAGCACGTTATCCCCTAAATATACGTTAGGGCCGGGTTACCAATTGGCTGGGATGCGCACAAAATGTTGGGTGGTTGTGTGACATAAAAAAGAAGTGAAAAACACCACGATGAGGAAGAACATAAATGTTGTACACATCAAGTGGATGACTGTCCATTGCTTCAGATAACTTTTTATAACTTCTTACTTGAGTAATTTAGTGGTTCATGTTCACAAGTCGTACGAGAACAATTTCCATTGGGAAGGTTAAACTCTTCGACCTCTCGGTGGTTTACCGCCTCATTGTGGCTGGGAAGTGTTCCTGGGTGTAAGAGTGCGATGTACAGCGGGGAGATTCATTCCCCGGTAGGATCTCCTAAGCTAAGAAAGCTAAGAAGGAACCCGACGTTTCCATCAGGAAGCCTAGCTAGGACTACGAGGATCCACCACCGTCGTGGTACCAAACTAGTCGCATGCTGACAAATCTCCCTCTGATTCATAAAGGCGGCGACAGCCTGTGGTGGTGGACGACCCGGGGCAGGCTTTGGCCAGGCTCACCTCGGGATTCCATGGAACCACAATGGCTTAATCGGGAAATCTCCGAAAAAGTGGAAAATTTTGCTGGAACCCGCACAACCAATGAGGACGGGTCATTCAGGTATCAAGTAAACTCCTCGCTTTAGTCGCCCTGCCTAAGGTGTATATGCGTTCTACGTCGCAGTTAGTAACAACTTGTCATAGTAAGGCTACTGATTGAAAATTACCCAATGACGGATTATAGGGTTAAAAGCCAAAAGACTGTCAAATATTCGTGGACAGAAAACCCTTCTCCAACCTTGATTTTGTCCTGCTGAACATCCAGTTGAGATCAAAGCCAGATATTTTAAAAAATCCAATTAAAAAATATTTTCAGAAAATATTACTCACACCAGGTTCTTCATTGACTGCTTTCCCATGCAATGGTTCCAGAGTTCCAAAGAGTTCTCGAAAGGTGAACGGCTGTGGATTCAAAGTTGGATAACGCGGATCCACACGGCCTATTAACGGAGTAACAGGGTGAAAATAACACTACCCAAAGGCATTCACTGGTCAGTTCGCTACAATCAGTTGTACCCAGGAGTCAAAAACAAAGGAGATCTATAGAACAGGTCAATTTATTTTGTTCAACTGTATGAAAGCTTCTGTTGCTGATAATAAACTTACTAATTGTACTTGTCGTGTGCAAGACTTGCCTAGTGGTTCCTGTTAGAGAGTCTTTCGACATCGTATTTCTCCTCTAGAATCTTCTGATCGGCTCGATGAACTTTTTCTGTGTGCTTCATATTCACTGGCAACTAATCGCTTGCGACTTTTGTCGTGCGGTTTCAAGCGCAAAACGTGCTTGACTGGTCGGATCTTCGACATTTTGACTTGACTGTCGATCGTTGACATATGTAAGGACTTCGGATTCACTTTCTGACTCACGTTTTAAGGTATACTTCCAGCTGCCCTGGCTACTACGCATTCAATAATGCGGGGTAATCTCCCGCTTTGTTCATGTAGCGAGCAGGTTTTTGACAACGTATGGTAACGCAGGAAGAATTGTGTAGTCGAGAAAATTAGCACGGAGTCGGGTGTTTGTGTCACATCATCAATGTTCGTGGAAGCTCCTAAGCCGCTCCATACGTCTCTCTCAAGTCCGAAGCTAAGCCGTTAACAACATCCACCCAAGATAAATATAGCTGTAGCACTGTGACATTCATTCCACTAAACGTGAATGTGGCGTCATTAACAAATCCACTTCTTGTGAGCATTTTTTCTTTAAGATTCAGTAGAAGACCAACGCATAAGCATTATTGAAGGCGGCCACTATTCGTACCACCTGGATAATGCTAATGCTTGAAGTCATGAAAACGTTGTCATCATCAGGGCGAAGGTAGTGTAGCAGCCGTGCATCGAATTTCGACTTCCATCCTCATTTTGTTCCATTCCAGGTTCTCCATGACATTCTCGAATATGGCTCTAGATAAGTATGGCGATATTTTACCACTTTGTGGAACACCTATCCTTACGTTGATGTTAATCTCGTTATAGAATAACGATTTTTGATTAAGAAATTTTTATATATCTCGCGGAGGATCTTTATACATTGAGTACGTACTCTCTGTCTCTACATCTACAGGACCTCCATGACTGCTTCTACCTCAACTGAGTAGAAAGTTTTCCTCAAATCGATGAAACAGAACGTTGCTGAGATATTTGCAAAACTCTGGACCGCAGGTGTCTATGGTGGGGAACGAACGCGCTATTATCCTTTCCGGGGAGTAACGCGTTCACCACCACACCATGCGGGTCCTTTGTTTCGCACGTCTCTCAGCTATTTCTATCGATCTTTTTGCCACAGCAATCACCCGTCAGCGGGGTTGATCTGGGGAGCGCAAATCGGCATAGAACCCAGTTAAGCTATGGCTGTAGTTGAAATCACAATGTTTAACGTTTTGTTTTCTGCCTTCTATAATTTTCATGGCAGGTTATTAAGCGAAATACAACCACAACGTTGCTGAGATATTTGCAAAACTCTGGACCGCAGGTGTCTATGGTGGGGAACGAACGCGCTATTATCCTTTCCGGGGAGTAACGCGTTCACCACCACACCATGCGGGTCCTTTGTTTCGCACGTCTCTCAGCTATTTCTATCGATCTTTTTGCCACAGCAATCACCCGTCAGCGGGGTTGATCTGGGGAGCGCAAATCGGCATAGAACCCAGTTAAGCTATGGCTGTAGTTGAAATCACAATGTTTAACGTTTTGTTTTCTGCCTTCTATAATTTTCATGGCAGGTTATTAAGCGAAATACAACCACAACGTTGCTGAGATATTTGCAAAACTCTGGACCGCAGGTGTCTATGGTGGGGAACGAACGCGCTATTATC